CAATTTCGAAAACTAAATGATGAATTTTCCCGAAACCTTCTGTGCTTGTACAGAATTCAATTCACTTCCCAATGGATCACTTGGCATTGACCGTACAAATTTCTGTTCCAGCACTTTTTCCATTTTAATCGCTTGCAAAAGCATTATTTCTCTTCATGAAGGTTCTTTTTAAGTTACAATTTCGAAAACTAAATGATGAATTTTCCCGAAACCTTCTGTGCTTGAAGAGAATTCAATTCTCTTTTCAATGGATTACTTGGCATTGACCGATCAAATCTCTGTTCCAGCACTTTTTCCACTTCAATTGATCACATCACTTCTATTTGATTGAAATTTCCGTGGTTAAACTTTTACTGCTCCATAAATGAGCCAATTCTTGTAGCCAGTCTTTGTCTGAACGTGGAAAATTTATTTCTCTTCCCAATGACACCTCATGTACACATTCAGGTCAGGTGTAGCCTTGAAATACGTCAAATTCCTGTGCCTCATCGATGAGTTAATTCGCCCTATTGGATCTCTTTTCTCTGTGCTCTACCTGACCGCGTCGCTTCAAAAGTGCAATTTGGCTTCTTTTACCAACTTCTCTTTTACGGCTTCTTTTACCGTTAATTTTTCGTTTCGTCCTAAACTGTCGGGAACACGATAATTGACCAAGCGACAATTGTCAGCACGATATTTGGCCAACCTGTAGTCCGTCACGCAAACTTCGTTTGGCTTCGCTTTTTGAGCAGTGCGAACGCACGATCACCATTTTGTGCGTTTAATATAAAAATCAGATTATTTGATCTATTTTGAGAGTTTTTATCACTATTTTATTATTTTTTTACGCGTGGTACGTTGTGAAGCCTTTGCGCTAGCCTCATCGTTGGGCTAAGTTTAAGTCTGAACTTAAGCACTGCCCAGATTTGACTTTGAATTGCATTAATGCATATGGGGTAAAGTGATAATATAAGCACACGGCGCCCGTTATCAGCAAAAATGCCGATTATTGATGATATTCATGTTGGCAGTTGTTTTGATATTACCACCTTATGATATCTCGAATTATGCACATTATATTTCTTTTAGGTATGGAGTTCATCGATGGGAAGCTGGCATTCAATGGATTTCTTTACTTGGCGTGAATTATTTGCTGAGTATCAAGCCTATCGAAACAGAGGAGCTGTTTAAATATTTTGTGAAAACGTATGTGAATGGAACGTGCGTCGAAGAACCTCACGATGATGGTAACGTTCATTTACGTTTTATCTCGCCACTATTTCCTCCTCCAATTTGGAACGTTCACAACCGTACAATTGAAGGACATGCTCGAACAAACAACAGCGCAGAAGGTTGGAATAGAAGAATTGAAACTGTAATGGGGGAGCCACATCCGTCATTTTGGAAAACTCTTTCTGTTCTGCAAAAGGAGCAGGCTACTCTGTTGACATTAATGTTGCAAGAAAGGAATGGGATCGCTGTGAAGAAAAATGTTCGCAAAACGTATAAAGATCTTGACCGAAGGTTGAAGAGACTTTGTCATTCTTATCGAAATGGCGAGTAGGACATCGCGAGTTTTTTAAGCGCCATTGCGCGTACTGTTCAGGTAATGTGAAATCCGCAGCATCGTGTTGTTGTATCGTTTAATTTCATTGAAGTATACGTTGTCTTTTTTGAATCAATTTTTTGTTGACTTTTTTATCGCTCGTTCGCTTGTATCTGTTTGTTCTCTTTGTGCTGTATTTGTATGTGTTTTTGGTTGCCGAATGTGAATGCAAAATAGTTTTTCTGTTCAATTAAATGGGAAGAATTGAAAGAGTTGGAAGTTGAGCTTTTGGAATGTTTTTTCTTTGGTTCGGTTGATAGCTTTCGATTTTTAATCGCTTTATATCGCAATTTTGAAGCTTTCTTAATGTTCATCCATATTGATTATTTTCTTGTTTGTAACGATTCTCGTCGTTTTTTGATGATGATTTGTGATGTGTTATGAACTGTAATTTAGGGACGAATGTGGGGAATCGGTGGGGCGAGGGGGGGGGGATGTTTTGTCGTTTTATCAATCACTTGTTCAATTTCCACACTATCGTGTTGTTGTGTTATTTTATCAATCAGTTCAATTTCCACAATAACATGTTTTTTTTTCAAATCATACCTCTTTTCAAATACACCTCAGACATAATGGCTTCACTATTGTAGGCATAATCTCATTATGATTTTATTCAATCTTATTTTATTCAATACATTTATAAATTCAATACACCGAACTTATTCACAAATGTTTTTATCGGTTCACAAATATGTGCTCATCTGTTGTTATGAAGTGCTCAATCTATTGTTGTTGAGTTTTTGTATTGTTATATTTTTGTATCTGTACATTTTTGTATTTGTACATTATATATTCTGTATCATTGTCTCTGTTTTGATCGTTTATTCTCAACCATCTGTTTTATGTTTCAATATTAATTATATATTAAAATAAACGAATTTGTCCTACATGATGTATTCGCTCACACCACAGAAAATCAACTAAGCTCTTAGTTATAAATCGCATTATTAAGTGCAGTATTTGTGACAGCCTTCTACATACCTTAATTAATGAAACCGTTACTGATCTCTTTAACGCTCGAAGATATAGCCGGATATACGAGATTATAGTAAATATATCGAATAATACACGTTTTATACCACACACAAAAAATGGTGAGCAAGCGTAGCTTCAGCCTCACGCTCCGACTAAGGCTGAGACTACGCTCAGACTGAGCCTAAGCCTCAGCATGATGTATATTACTGAGGCTGGGGCCACGCTTAGGCTTACGCTGAGGCTACGCTTAGGTTGAGGCAGGGACTAGGCTTAGGTTTAAGCTGAGGCCACGCTCAGACTGAGCCTGAGCCTCAGTAATACGCTTTTTATATTAAACGCACAAAATGGTGATCGTGCGTTCGCACTGCTCAAAAAGCGAACCCAGACGAAGTTTGTGTGACCGACTACTTGTTGGCTAAATATCGTGCTGACAGTTGTCGCTTGGTCAATTATCGTGTTCCCAAACTGTCAAATTGCGCAAAGTTGGCTGAATATTTGACCGTTAGAACGTGTTTAATTTGTCATTGGGTGGTTTGTTGCTAAAATAAATATTCAGCGCAATGCCTCGTTCCAAACGTGAAAGAGAAGGTCAATTTAATTTTATTAATTGTATTCATCTCGTTCTACTTTTTTAAATGCAACTCGTTTGCATTCGCACAATTGCTCCACCGAATAAAATTTTTTTGCATTGTTTTGGAATCATTATTCGACCAAATTTTCATAAATTGGGCTATGGGAAAATGTTTTTGCACAATATCGGTGTGTTTCATTCAATGATAGTATCAATGATATCAGTCAAGAGCTCTAATTCACATCAATTGATCTTCAGTATCCCTAACAAAAGTGAAGAAGAAGACAAGAGAGTCGAAGAAATTGCTCGTCGATGAAATTCAGAAAAGTGTCGATACATACAGCAATCTGTTCGTCTTCGATGTCGAAAATATGAGATCTACTAAGTTCATTGAGGTAATTGCTGGTTCATGTTGAATGTATGATGAAATGAATTTCGAGAAGCAAACTGAGATTGGTTCTACGCTCTTTTATGTGTGTTTCTTTCGAGTCACTTATGTTCTTTTTTTGTTTCTATCAAACGAAAAATTGAAATAATTAAGGTAAGGCAGAAGTTCAAGAACAATTCTCGATTCTTTTTCGGTAAGAATAATGTGATGGCATTGGCTTTGGGTAAGGATACCAGCACAGAATACGCAAAGCAACTCCATAAGGTATAATTTGTTCTTCACTATACAGTACTCAGTTTTCTCGTTGTAATTAAGTATGTTTATAAAAATGATCTGAATTGATCATGTTACTTACTGTATGGACAAATATGAAGGTTTTGCATGTAGTTATCGATTTTTGATCACTTGATGAATATTAAAAGCATTCGTGGAGTGCTTCTAGTCAAAGTTGGGCCGACGATCCCCGAACAGTCACGACTTTTCCAGGATTCCTAAGCTTCTGTGAGGTTTCTAGGGTCCCCGACTCTACCCTGTCACTTCGGACGCCTTCGAGCAACTTTTCAGTCATCTGCGATTTGATAGCTAGCATTGCGAGCCTGATTTCGTCTATGATCCAACCCTACTTTCAATTATTGATAAATAACATTTCCTAACTTAAATTTCAAAACAATCTTTAAGTATTCATTAACCAACTTCTTTCTGAAAAATAGTCGGATTGTGATTGAAGTGTCAGATAACATTAAAAATAAAGCATTCATTTAAGGTAAGTAATGTATTGAAAGGACAGTGCGGATTGATGTTCACGAATGTAGATCGAGAAGAAGTCATTCGGTACGTAATCACATTCTATTTGCCACTTTGATCCATCGATTTGTTATTGTTCGTTACTCAAAAATTTCTTAGATAAAAAAGGCACTGCTTGATGTTGCTTTCGTTGCTCACTTGAAAATAATCTTTGTTTGAACTTTCAAGTGATCAAATAATTTTGTGTTCAAAGTTGAGCGATTTTTGGATGAATATTCTCCATTTTAGGTACTTCGAAGAGTTCAAGGAAAATGATTTTGCACGTGGTGGACAAGAAGCGACAGAAACAGTTGAATTACCCGAAGGTCCTTTACCACAATTCGCCTTCTCTATAGAACCGCAACTTCGAAAATTGGGTCTTCCAACCAAGCTTGATAGAGGCATGCTGACTGTTTTCTTTTTTGATTCGAAGCCTTATCCATAGTAATGGATAATGTGCAGTTTGTTAAGCTCAAATAGATATTGCTCACAGAGGTAAGTATTGTTTTCTAAAGTTTCGCAGATGTTATCAGTCTGATGGAAACGTTTTTTAGGTCCTTCCTGCATCGCCTTTCCAAATCATGTTTATTTTAGGTATCGTGACGCTGATATCAGATTTTACGGTATGTAAGAAAGGAGTGGTCTTGACTGCAGACCAAGCTCGCATCTTGAAATTACTTGGCTATATGTTGTCCATATTTCAAATCAATATCAGAGCGAGTTGGACGAAGGAAAAAGGATTTCATCTGATCAAATAATCTTTGAAGAACTGGCAATGAATTGTTGTTATGTCATTTATCAGTCTGATTATGAGAATGTATAGTTTATCATTAGTATGCAATCAATTTTTTGTTGTATCGAAATTCGAAAACGTATTTAACGGGAAGATAGATAACTAAACAGTTTTATACTTTTAAAAACTGAATTTTATCATCATTTCAAAATCATTATATGAATTGAAATTGAAGGGTTATAGATTAATAGGTACGTATTAATATTACTGAACCTTATGAACTATCTTATGAATTTTAACGTTTACCTTTCCTTATCAACAGTGTTGCCATTTTTACAATCAATACAGTCAAGCAGATCGTTCAAATTATCTTATCCTAAATAGTCGGACAAAGTAATAATTGTGTAGCAGCACAGTACTGCAGTTGTCAAGTATTAAAATTACAGAATCCATTATGACGTTAAATTGGTATTCATCCTTTCATAAGTTTGGAAAGTGTTTGTAAAATGCAGTTATCGCCAATTTTTGTTTATTGTTTACGACGGTTTATGGAAATGGTTTTTGTTTTGCAATCTGTCATCGTTGTGTCAGTGATACGTATCTTTCATGGTATCAGTTGTTAAACGTGTTCGTTATGTGGTCGAAAATCAGATAAATTTTTGTACTTCTGTAAGCTTTTCGTTCGTTCTCAAAATCTTTTCACTTATTGCGTTTTATCGTCAGTTTCATTTTCTATTTTATTTTTCACTCTAGAGCGCATCATACTGACATATTTGTTGAATTGTTTTCCATGAAATGAAAACATATTAAGTGAATAATATGTGTTGAATTCTGGAATGAATCGAAGATATTGGTGAATGCAAGAAATAGCCATCGACATCAATTTTACCTTGCACTGATAGTGAGATCATATTCAGTTGATTGAACTACTTGCTTCAGGAATAATCATTTCAGGTGTTTGAGCGGTTTTTCTAAGTATTGACTTAGAGAGAAATCAAAAGGGGTTCGATATAAAAGTAACTATTTGAATATAGTTGGTCTTGAATGTGCGTGTGCAGAACGACTGCTAATGAATTAATTCAACGAGCTTGGTTGCAGCTGAATGAAGACTTCTGAAATTTTATATCAAATATTATGAGGTGTTCTCGAAGTAATCTCGCTTGTTTGCTCTTTATCAACAAACATCCGTTATCAGGTTTTACTCAATGTTTTTTGAATCACATTTAGTATGTGATGAATATGACAGAATTGTGATTGACGAATCTAGAAAGTTCTTGTTTTATGGCTCACTTCGATTTCATTGAGTATTTCTATACTCATTCTACGAAAAGCGATTCGTTTTAAATCCACATAACATTTCAGTTTTGGCAATGTTTAAATTTTTTGTGCTCCACACGAACGACTTTTGAAAACGCTAATATTTGATCGAAAAAAAAGAGCTTATCTGAGAAGTACTGAGATGGTCGGATGTAACATAAGCTTAAACAGATTGAATTTTAGTTGGTATTCGTTATTGCGCATTATCAAATGATGTGCGTGAAACAAAGTTTAGTGAGAGCGGTGCATATTTTGGTAGAGATAAAGTCAACAGAAGATTGGTCCAACAACGTCATTTGAAATTCAAAATGGATTATTATTCGTCAGATGCGTTTAGAAACAAACGACTTCTTTATGTTGTTATCAGTGTATTCGCTGTGGTCATTTATTTTGCTTGGCTCAGGTTATATTTTCCAGTCGTTTGTGCATTCAAGCTCACAATCAGTATCATTTTACAATAACCGTATATTTTGAACATGATAATTTTTCATCTATCAATTTCCATAACTGTTTGATAATGATTTTTATTTGATTCGTTAGGATGGCGAATGGGCAATTAATTTTGTACACAAATATAATTTGTAGAGAACCGTCAGATTTGGACGAAATTTTCTCACTGCCACCTCATCAGTTAAGTGCAAATGTAGAAAGGAGAATGCTAAAAGAAGACATAAAACGGAGTAAAGCAAAAGGTGAAGATACGACTCTACTCGAAGCACAGCTTGCTTACGTTGACGTTAAGGAAGCAGCACTCAAAACACAATTCAAAAAATAATTACTTCAATTTTATTGTATACTCCTTTCAGTTATACATGCATATTATTCTTGAATATCCGTAATCTTGTGAGATTCGAATGAAATTTTTACTTTCGAAAGTGTTTCAAATGTTTTGTTTCTGTCTAATGCAATTGAATGATAGCGTTCTCATTGTATCACCAGCATTCGCTATTTTAGCGATTCAAAAGGAGTTTATTACGGCTAACTGTGAACATGGAACGATGCGATAATTTATATATGTCAATGAAATTTTCATCATAATTTCAATTGAACGTTAAGTCGCTGTACTCCGTCATTAATCCTGTGGTTTTTCCTAGATGTTACTAACGTTTATATCACATACTCTGTCTTCTATGTTCTTCAGTTGAGTGAAGTTCAGTAGAATTGCGGGTTCTGTGGTTCTTTTTTTTAAGAGAGTCTTCATTGTACTAGTGTTCGTTTAACTTAATGCGATTAATATTCAGTGAATGTATTTCTTGTTGTATGAATTGTCAATAAATTGCTGATTACGTATTTTTAATGTCTCCGCTGAGAATGCCTTAAGTTTGCGATTGAAAAAATGTGTAGGTTGATCAGTAATTATATGATATGTAATTGTTGTTCAAAACAGGTTCTTTATATGTAGATACACTTATGTACCTATGAATATCGCTCGTCGAATAAAATGTCGATATTCTGTTTGCAGAAAAAATTACAACAAACCTGTCTTCATTTTAGTTTCCAATTTGAAATTATTTATAAAGATGTGAAATTCACAGTCGCAAACATTCTTGCACTGTGGTATCCTTTTTTAAAAAATTTCTCTAATTGATTTCCCTACCGAATAGTTTCATGAGTACTGCACAAAATCGAACAATTCAGGTTCAATAAATTAGCTTGCTCTCGCGTGGTCTTCTCGTATCTCTAAGAATTCCTTCACCTATCTGTTCTATGGCACTCGTTGAACAGAAGTGAAATAAGTTTGCAGTTGTAACAGAATACGGTGTCGAAGAGGATGATGTGGAGAGCGAGTGCAATGTGTTGTTGCATTAGGTCAGAGCTGTGACTGTGTGTGTTACACTAATTTAGACGAACACATTCTTAATGCACCCGCATCATCCCATCCCATCGCTTCCATCTCAGTCTTATTTTACCGATCTCCTTCATACAGTTTACTCGTTTCTAGTTTAGCATTTCTATTTGATTATTTCTTTGTCGTTTTAACGCTTTGATGAAATAAATAAGTGTAGAATTATGTGTTTGCATATATTGAATTATTGAGTGCGATTTGTTCAAATACATTATCAACGTCGTAATAAAGGCTTCATTAAGGTAATGAATAATTTAATATTAGTTGTCGTTACTTTCTGTATAGCATCAGTAGGATTAATCAATGCTAAGGAAGAAGAACAGAAATTGAGTTGGAAAGATGACGATGGTCTTGAGGTATTGTTTTCGCTGAGTTCCACTTCACTTTCATGTTTAATTTTTATCATTGCCTATGCAGTTTGTTTGTTCAGTTTCATTACGAATAGAACCACTAGGTTTTAGAGCATAATTCAAAATGAAACCAACTCCGGTCATACCGTAAGCCATTTCATTTCATGACCAAACTGAATGATCACAAGAGCGAAACATATCATTCATTCATCAACTACAACATGTACGGAATTCAAAATTAACGTTCATCGAACCAAATCGTTCAGATTTCTTCCGAATTTGAATACTTAATAATATCCGTGAATGATATGTAAGATTTACTACATAATCTGACATCACCGATAAGCACAAAGACTTATTGATGATCATTTCAGGTCAAAATCATAAAACCAGTAAAACCAGAAAGATGCACAATAAAGAGTCAAGAAGGCGATGTTATTGATCAATTCTACAAGTTAACGGATAAAAATGGCAAAGAAATCGGCTCAAACTTTGGGAAAAAACCGTAAGGTCATTTAGGGATCCGTGTCATATTATATAAAAGAAATATTCAACGCGGAACTAGACTCTGGTTTTCGAACTATTAAGTTGGTTGCAAATGAAAAAATAGTGTAAGCATCAGATCGCTAGTTCGAGTGCTTACTTTTTTTCGCTTGCAACGAACCGAAGTGTAGTGGTCTGCTGCAGTTATTTTTTTCAGTTATGCTGGTAATGCTTGTATGACCTCTTTAAACATACACTTTTTCACAACACAGGCGATTTTTCGTAAGCATTCGATGATTTTGTCGCATTGTTCGATATTCCACTGTGAAATTATCATCAATGACTGCAATAGTGGCTAGAACAGACTTGATATTAATAGTGAAAGTGTTCAGATATGTATTCACGTTGGGAAAAGGCCAGGTCATAAAGGGTATGGACAGAGCAATGATGAACATGTGCATTGGTGAGAAACGAAAGGTCACAATACCAGGGGCACTTGGTTTTGGCTCAACGGGTAGAGAGCGCGATGCGATTGAAGCAGACCAGACCTTATATTATACAGTTCAACTGATCGATATATTCAGACCCGTACCTGGCTCTTCGTGGACCGAAGATGATGGTCTTCATATTGAGGTACACTTTATTTGATTGATCAGATCGATTCTTAGGCTTGTTTTGACTCTGATTTATACATTGATTTTGTTCGAAGGTAACACACAAAGTCGATGAAGATAAATGCCGTTTGTCTGAACCAGGTGACACAATCCACCAACACTACACGTTGCACCTTGAAGATGGCACTTTCGTCGATTCGAGTTTCAGTCGTAATACTCCTTACGTATTCAAACTTGGTGCAGGACAGGTAGCTTCATTTCTTTATATCAGTCATTATTATCATTATCCACCTTGTAAATGTTTAGAATTTCAGTAGTTCATTTATGTTCTCGTATTTTCAGTAGCTTTTATTCGATGTTTGCAGTGAGTATTCGTTTCAGGAGTTGGTACTTTTGCAGTTTTAAAGATACTTTCACAATGAGCCGATTGTTGTGATAGTAAGATTGTTACTAGTAAATCAGTGAATGCTTGTTACACAGCAGCCTGTTCTTGTGACACTTCNACTAAAAAAACCTTACAACAACTACTCTATTATTTATCAACAAATCATCTTGCATATTCATTTTCCTTCTTGCACACGATCAAGTATTCACTTTAAATAAACTGAACTGTCCGAAAACAGTGAACCGCAAAATAATTGTTAAACTGAATTTCTAATACATAAGTCAGTTAGAGTTATTTTGAGAGAGTGAATGAGTGATTATCGTAGTGAAACTTGCCCAGTAATCAAACTCAAATTCAGGTAATAAAAGGCATCGAACGTGCGATGACTAAGATGTGTGAAGGCGAACGAAGAAAAGTCGTGATACCATCTGATCTCGGTATATTCTATTGTATTTTTGATTCTGAATGATACTGTCTGACGATTGTGTCAAAAGCAATTCATGTTATCAGTAATTCGAACTGACATTCCAAACGCAGTGCACATAAATATACAGTTACCACCTACCTCTCAGAAAACTATACAATTACCTTTTTAGTCAGAAAACCATTATTTCAGTGATGCCGAAAACTCGATTTTTTTTACTTCTTCGGCAGTGTCGAATGAATCAACCTAATCGAAGTTCAGTAATTTGAAGGAGTGTGTGCTTTTAAAATGTTGATTAATTACAGGATATGGAGATGATGGACGTGAACCGAACATACCTGGTAAAGCCACCCTTTACTTCGATATTGAACTTCACAAACTCATCAAACGCGACGAACTTTGAATTGTTTCATTCTCAGTTTCATTTGTTATTTTGCTGACATTGCCATTGTTTTTGTTTTTCATTATTATTATTGTTACTACCGTATATTGATGTTTATTGTTCGTGGCATTTCAAAAACTGAATCTCTTCCGAAATTCGTATTTGTTGTTGAATAAACATATTAATGATCAACGTTTCTTTCCATTCATTCATATTACGAACAATTTTCTATTCATTCAATCCGGTTTAATTAATAATCGTTTATTTCTGATGTCAATCTCAATAAAGCAAATAGGTCATGTTTGTCAAAAAATAAAAACCATCATGAGAAGGATCGCTGAATGCGAAGAGTACAATCACTGAGAACAAGGTGAACGTAGAAAAAACGTAATTTCATCCCGATCCGCAAAAAACGTAATTTCACCCGAACGGCATATTTTCATTGAATGAGTACAACGGAATAAGAGACGAGTTTGTAAATTATGAACAATCAAAGGAAGTTGAATGGTAACTTGACTCAGTTCGCACAATTCAAAATGAAACATTGAATGTGCAGTTTCCGTTATTCTCGATAGAAATGGTCATGAAAGGAAGAAATGAATTTTATAAAGGAAGTCGTTGTGAAAGAAACGAATTTTAGTCAAATTCCCGAAGAAACGTTCTAAAAAATGATTTTACCGGATGTAAGAAATTATTGATTACAAGCCGCCGAAATAACAACAAGAACTACACACTGAAAAAATCAAGACAAATATTATATACACGTCAAATACATTTCATGTATTTGACGTGCTTATTTCAATCCGGCGAGCATGATCCAAATCAATTTAAGTTTTCTTGCGAGCGGATTTTGAAAAAAAAGCTTGATTGATCATTGAACTAAATTGTCTTTGGAAGACTGAAGGTTTTGAAGACGAACTGAGGAATAAGATTCTGAATATTCAAAAAAAAAACGGAAAATGAAGTGCGTTATTGAATACCATAATAATTGATAGGCTACGTGAAATGCATTGAACCTTCAGGAACATGAGTAAAAACGCACGTGAGGTATCAAAATACAATATTTAGAGAGACTGAAAAAGATGTAAATCCAAAAGAATATTTGTCATCACCAAACCATTTTTCATCCTTCTGCTTTATCTGAAATGAAATAAGTCACCAATGATCGGCAACATTCTAATAGTTTCTCAACTGCTTTTGCTTATCACAGTATGGCAAAACTGAATAGCAAACAGTTATCGAATAACCGACCTCATTGAAGAATTTGTGAATGATTTTACTGATGTCACTTCGGGCATTCTTCATCTGTTCAACAGTTTCCTTAAGAAATTTCACTTCACAAATCTACTCAGCGTTCTCCTTCTCTAATGCCTGTATCTGCTTTTCTTTCTGAAGGAATTCTTAGCGATTTGATCCTCATTCACACCATATAGATTGAATGTATTGATCACATTGAAGTAACTCGATGTGTTCATCACTATATCAATCATACCACCGTCAACTGTTATCACAATCATGTCAAACCACATCACAACTGTCCTATATTGAGCCTAACTCAACTCTGATTGAGAATAATCGCAGTAATAGAAACGATAACGCTAGTAATTAAAACCACTATCAACGTATCAAAAAGCTCGAGCAAGAAGCATCATACACTAACCTTTTCAAAATGTTATTCCACATAGAAACTTCGAAGTGAATCACTTTCGAAGCTATTCAATTTTCGATCGAGTAAAAATTATTGGAGGCATAAAATGTGTAGTTAAGTGATTTGCAATAAACATTCAACAACTACCTCAATTTCGAGTTCTTCTTGTGAACCAAGCTTTCTATTGCGCCGAAATTCAAAGTGTTCTCATAACTGAACAATTCGATTATCATCAAAATAATAAAATTTCCTGCTGAGAAGCGCTAATCTGTTACGGACATACTCGATTGTGAAAGCAATCGTAATATGCGTAAATTATCTTACGTAAATTATCTTATGAGAGAAAAATGAATTATATTTTGGTTGCTAAAGCGTGAAAAGTTATGAATAAACGAATGGCAACAAACGATTTCGTATTCTGCACTACGTAACTGCTCTACTACGACCCTAAGCTGCGATTTCAGTGAGCCGAACGTATCGCACATCTGAAGTATTTTTGAAGCAAAAGTATTTTTTGTTCAGTGTGATCTAGATTCACCGTGAACCGTTGAGCACGAATGCACCGACATTAAGATCGAATCGATCGAAAAATAATGCGGAATCTCACACAAATGAAATCGTACTAATTTCAGTGTCATTCAATAAATGAGACTTAGGACGCGGAATAGGATTGGATTGGGGCGAAATTGAACTCGATGACCACTGAACGTGGAGACGAGTGTCGGGGGTCTTCGAGAACTCGTAATTTGTTTCAGTGTCACTCAACAAATTCGACTGTTGGGTGGACCAGCTGAGTGCACGTTTTAAAAGTTTGGCCAAAAATGTAATCCTTCTTGTGAATGAAATTGAATTATTACATTATTAACGCTTTCTTCAAGTGTTGCAAACTGCGAATCTCTTTTATTAAGTCGAGCGTGTATTTCATTACGATATAAATCCATCTGGAACATTCAACTTTCTGCATATTATTTCCACTATGACTGAACATTAATGTGGTTTATTTGAGATCATATTGCGACGTACGTGAAATAAATAAGGTAAGGTAGTACTAAGCAAATTTTTTTATATCAACTAGAACTTTCCTTCACGCGTTCGCCTATTTCGATAACAATGAAAAACAATTCCACCAGAAACGCACCTTGGATCTTGTTTCAGTGAGTCCTTTGTGAAGCATATCCATTTGTGCTGACGTTTGCTGTAAAAATATGCATCGGATTTAAAAAATCATTGAAATTTGCACACTTGCAAAATGTTGTCTATCACGATTCTATCAGATTTCGAAATCGTCTGCTCATTTTCCAATACGTTCTGAACAACAAATCAACGATCTTCACAAGCATCGGTCAAATACGAAAGCAAAAGCATAATTCGACAATGCCAGTGACTAGAGAAAGTATCTTAAGAGCATCGCCTTGAACACTCACTGATAACAACTTCACCTCACGATCAACCATCAGTGCCTTGTCTTTGACACATTTAAACGCTTCGATATCCTTAAATCACTCAACATATTTCCGAAAATTTTTAACACGTAATAAGAAAATCTATAATTTATTATGTCCTGAATAATCGCATTTATTATATTGATCTAGCATAGCATTGTAATTTTTTCTCTCAAAGTTTTTGTCGTAGCAATATTTCTTGCTTTGGACCCACAAGAATCACCTCAGAATCCCAATTTACAGTATCCCACAGTTTCAATGAATTTGACTATTGATTGTCATCGCTGAAGTATTGAAATGAATGGAGTGAATAACAACAAACCGATGAATACGCAGTACCAACTAAATGAGATCTCATTTCGTTGTTAAGAATGAAATGAGCCGGTTCAATTGTCAAATCGGCACCATGAGATTTGAAACGCAAACAATATTCAACCTCTGTTGTCCATTCCCTCTCTTGCTCATTATCTCCCATTTCGAAACCGAATTTTACGATATAACCTCTGCGAAATGAAATTATCATTACTATTATTATTATTATCATTATCACTGGTATATAAGGTTGAATCGAACAGGATTTGTTCACGTAGGAGTGCTGCGCTTCGAGATTCGAGATTGTTTGTCTTTTGATTAACATATAAGTTTAAAGTTTAAAGATGGCATATCGTGTTCGCCTATAGAGTGATTCTGGAAGTTCCCCATCGAACGGGATTTGAGATTTCCAAAAGGGGATTCATGAAATGAGCAAATTAATTTTCGGTTGTACACATGCCGATAAGCATTGTCAGTTCATTATAATGCTTCAGTCAAACCGTACGTTCCACTCAAGCGTTGTGTACTCATCGTATAATACACTCTCCCCGACAACTCTCCAAGGCTGCACCACTTTCCAAAATACTTCTCATGTGGGACACCATTGCGAACAAACTCCTCGAAATCTTCGACAATCAATTCAAGAAAAAACGTCTGATTGGATGCTGAAACAAATTCATTTGTTAGCTGAGTTCAACAATCGCTTAATTGATCATTATCTGTTTTAAGTAAATTTAATGGTTTATTCGGACGAAAAGTTTGATACCGATCGTTTAGAACTTATTGATTTATAATAAAAGTAAAGAATAACAATTATTGAGATGCAGAGTGAAAACAATGACTTCAAAAGGAATACAATTTTAAAATATTCCTAAATTCCATTTATTTTTAGCTAGTGTTTGTTATGATTCAAACGAAACATTCATATATGATTGGATTGTTTAAATGTCATTCTAACCTGTCACCCTAATTAACATAATAATGAGCATTACTATGTTAATTAGGGTGACAGATTAGAATGAATAAATATTTTACAAAACATTCCGCAGATGTTTCGTGAAACGTACTCGATAATCGTGTCATTTCGTTTCGTTATGGTGATTGTACAACTTGATACGAAAAGCTGTGTGACTTCTTTGAAGAACGATGCTAAAATGATAGTGACTGGTGAAATTTGTTTGAAAGTGATAGGTAAACTATGAAAGTTGAATAGAACTGATCAGCGAAACTAATTGTAAGAGAAAACAAGTTGAATACGCGAATCGAGTGATTCGTAAACCATGAAATAAGGGTTGTTAACAATGTTTATTCAACTTAATCAAAAGAGCAACTTTGAGAATTGTAACTTGAAGTTATGAACAACATATTATGGGGTTATAGGTCCAGGGGAAAATTAAGACCCTTAGTGATACTTTCATTTATATAGATTCATGTCTAGTTTAAATTTGAGACTATCGTAGTAGTTAAGGTTTTGTCTGAGGATATATTCGACTGAGCGTTCGAATAGATTAGATTACAAGATAAGTAGGATGGATACTTTGCTGAGGGAGAATATAATCATAGTAATATTCATATTTATCGGCGATCACATTTGATCTGTTATTATCATGAACCATAAGCGTTTTGGAGTTTCTGTTACGCCTGAAGCGGGAATCATTGAATTCATTGAAATGACGGAAATATTTACGGAGAAAGCCTTAAGGGAACCGAAGTCTGCAGTCAAAATGACTCGATGTCTGTTGTAAACGATGAGAAGTGAATGTGACAAGTGACTAACACTGAATCAATTTGCTCATGTTGCAATGATGATTTGAGTCAACAATCAAAGAACGGGAAGTTTAAAATTCGACACTGATTAGAACAATAAGCAACATAATTTTGGATATTTACAATAACGTCAAATCGCTGACGAGGATATCCGCTGTTGCAGCTTAGCCGTTCACATTTCTAAACAAAGAATCTTCGAGCTGTATTATCAGAAACACGCCAGCGGGTAGATGTTGCATTACTTCTCGACGTCTTGTTTATTGTTTCCATCAGTTTTACGAAGAACATCATTCTGTTCATGGGGAACCCAACCAGAACGTCTAAATTACGTTTAGTTTGTTTATCCGTGACCATTTTCAGCGAGTTCTGATGGCTGTCGATTAGTCGTTAGTCTTCACATTCATATTTCTAAACAAAAAATCTTCGAGTCAACTATACTTTGCGCAACTATGTAGTGTTAGCCAAACAAATAACCTGTAATTTCAACATTGATATACCACTTGGTTCCGAGCGAAATTGTTGCGAACTCGCAACTTCCTAATATTAATTGTTGCTGATGCTAATTATTATCTAAAACAGCAATATTCATATATATTCTTGTAAATATTGATTCTTATTAAATATTGTTTATAACGTCAACGATTGTGGTTATTATTATTGTTGTTGTTATTGTTGTTAAAATCCAACGCGTCGTTCTCCATCCCCAAACCCAAATCTATTGTCGTCACCTCAATCAATTGCCTCCATACGTCGACTCGATTTTCCAAATAAATATTTCAAGTGTGGTGGATCGCAAAACAACGAAAGCCACTAGACACCGAGCAACTATCAATTCAGTACTCTGTGAAACCCCAATATTATTATTATTTAAAGCCCTCCACCACAGAAATGTTACGAGGCTGTAGTTTCACAATCGGAGCTTAGTTTTGCTTATTATATGCTTCCTAGTAACGTTACCAGTTTAATAAATAATGACTGCATTTATGCCTTGTTTCACATTACACTGAAGGTGAATAATGCGGACAAACGAGATCGAATTGAAAGCAGTATGAAAATCGTTTCGCATCTCTACCTCGTTGTCTTCATCATGCGGCATCGGATTTTTCCGTAATTGTGTTCGGCCACCAACTCAATGTTGGGATCTTACTGAAGTGAGTCTCAAAAATTAGTAAGGAAGAGGAAATTGTTAAATTAACAGTAATACAAAAGATTAAGGCTGCTGTTTTCAGTTGTCGGAAAGATTTCACTTTTTGCGTGAAACAATATTACTTTCCGCAAATGGTGACTGCAGATAACATTTTTTGTGTGCAGATAGAAGTGGATTACTGCTGATATTTTTCGATATGTTGATAGTATTTTTTACTGCAAACAACTCTTTTATTATCAGGGTAATGAATCAACATAAAACATCCTTATGTGTTACGCTAAGGCCGATAAATGTGCTTTTTTCCGTAGGAACTACTACTCATCCAAAAAACAGCTCAGGAAGAGGAAACATTCCTTAAGAAAAGGACTGCCATTTTTTAAGTGAAAACTAAATACTGATGCGCTTCAGGTGGATGGTTAGGCGCAAGGATGTGCCCAGTCATCCAAACCATTAAATGATGACGTAAGTATACCTAACATAAAACGTCGCACAGAAAAGTAGCATAGACTGCTCTCGTAATATAAGGTGAAAAAAGGAAAATTTGGTGTCTTTGGCCTGGCATAATAATAGAATTTAGATATCAGATCTGAGATCAGCGTTATCACTTCAATGGATATCAGTAGTCAACGTGTCTGTGGCAAAAGAAAACGTTAAAATTTGTTATTACGTGTTATTCGATGAATAATTACACTGAAGATGATAATTTAGAAGAACCAAGTTATGCATTCATGCAGAATTTCGTGACATAGGTCGAGCGAACTTTTACAGTCACGTAACTTTATTTACTGTTTCGCTAGACGGTCAGTCGTCTGAGCTGTTGTTTCTGAGATCGAATTCTTGCCGAAACATGGCATCGTAAGTCAAAATTATTCGATAGTTTCCATTAGTTTCAGAATGACTTTATGTTACCATTCGTCGGCGTTCCACTTAATAAATTTTAAAATTCATTTTAATCTGCATCTTTGTATTATGAGTGATAATCATCGAACAATATAGTAATCAGTGATTGATGTAACAATAAATGGGACACAAAACTGTCACAAGATTAATCTTGATATGAGTGGAAGTATGGTTGCAGAGAACAACGGAAGGCATCATCATCATCTGAGAGCACGTCAACATCGACTGAGGAAGACAAGAAATCGAAATCTCTCTCATCGAATAAAGAATGGAATAAAATGATCAAAGAGAGCATCAAATCCGACGAAGAACATATGAAAACCAACAAAAGTTCAGCTAATCAACGGTAGCTAGCCAACCACTCAATGACATCAAACGATTCACATTGGCGACTGTCTGTTTGAATCGTTCATGGATAATACTCCATATTTATTGCTAAAATTTGGGGTCTTTGGCCGGGCGTAATAATAGAATTTAGATATCAGATCTGAAATCAGCGTTATCACCTTAAGTATCGGTAGTCAGAAAATTATACGTAAAAATTAAACGAGCATACCTTCATAATAGGTTCGATCGTCTATCTCCATTGAACTTTATATTTTATCTCGAACTGATTCAGTAAAATGAAAAAGATGTCTTGAAATGAAATTTGGTAAAGAGAAATGAACCATGAAGTGAGAGATAAGGGTATTAAACTTATTGAAAAGATAAATAAATTCATTCATTCATTTCAGTGAAACCGTTATAAAATTCGTTCGTTCACATGGCCATCAAAATATGGCACGAGCTCACCTCGAGCTTCGTAACGTACGCAATCGACCATTTCAATACAAAATTAAGTGTGAACAAAATGTGGATATTACGGTCAGTTCATTTCAATTGACATTCAGTGAGATGTTCATTGCAGACCACATAGCAACGACAAGCAACATTCGGATTAGTGTTTTGCGAGGACGGAGAAAAACTGGGAGAGGGGAAAGTCGGGCACAACATTCCGCAGTCGACGACCTCGATAATGTGGTCGCCTCGAAAAACGTTGGGGACGGGGTCCACGGACTTCCCCGTTCCCCGCAACACACTAAAATCCTCCCCCCGTCCTATTAATGTGATACCCCGTTTAAAGAAGCGAGTTTTCAGTTTGGCTAAAGACTTAATTTTTAATGCTCTTTAGCCTAACTGATCAGGCAGAGTCTTAGCATATCATTTCCAGTATCATTCATAACTTTAACTCTGTCGGGTTCTAATTGCCAGACTCATCCTCTGAAGCGATAAGTAGGCTCACTCCAATCACAAAAGCATTATTGTTCAAAGATAACAAATTCTCTTTGTCATCTTATTCACAGTTTATGTGACGGATACTGCTCCACAAAATATTGCGTCCTTGCAGTCTAATGACTCGTAGATCACTAGTATCGTAAATACTTCAACGAATATACCAAACCAAATTGTGACGGTGACTCCATCTCATAAAAAATACTGCGTCTTTCGAGTGTCTTGCTGCTCAAAAAGAAAATGGTATTCACATTGTCATCTCTTAAGCATGGATCTGGTTAATGAGTGTTCAGGCCCAATCAAACAGCAGTGGATATGTGAAGGCATTTGGATCAGCTAGATGTTTGTTAACGTGGCATCAGGCACAAGGATTCGATCAGCAACAATTCCAGACTAAACTAATATTCTACATTTATTTTGTTGATATGAACGATAAAAATGTCATGAAACGTATTACAATGCGATTCACTGGTAAGTTGAATGTGCTAAGCTATAAGCGAATGACATAGATGGATGTGTATTGGTTGCTACAAATTAACTACTCAATTAACAATGAGTATATACCATTCAATTTAGCAATGGCATCGCCAAATGAATACTGTGATGCTACATGGATGCCCGCACAACAGTTAACGGTTGATATCGAACGTAGAGAGGATGATACAAAGTCGATTATAGAAGATGAGGGATTTGAGATCTCAATGTAAGAAATCATTCTTCAATGTTCATGATTGCAGACGATCAGGGATGTTTGCTTACAATTTCATGTGAATTTCACATCGTTTGTTATTGTATTAAAGTGTTTGTTTTTAGGCAATCCAGTAGAATGAACTCAAAAATGAACGTTGGTGGGACAGTAGATGAAATTCTGGACTGGTTGTGCTCACAGTCTGAAGATACATTAGTTCTGTTGATCCTTTGTGGTTTGATCATTTATTCGATGGGTTTTGCAGATTCACATTAATTTTATTGTAATTTTTATTATTGTATTTAAATATCTGTATTATTCGCAGTGTTACGATAGGTTTCGATTTCTTCTTTGACGATTGAGAGAATAGGATGTAATGTTGTTTCCATTCATGCACAATCTTATGTTTCTGATAAATTTAATGTTCATCTTACTGAACGTAAAATAAACATTTTTGTTGGCATTTACAGTTGCTGTTCTTAAAATGAATAATGTGAATTCCATCTTTTAAGTTTCATTTTCGGAACATTGGTGTGGTCTTAACTTCTCGGACAAGATCGCATTGTCTAAAATATTCGTGGCAAATATATTGATGCGAAAAAGTTGTCAGGATAGTACACGGTTCAAAGTTTTCCATGTTTATTTCGTTTTCTTAGGTGGAACAAAGAGGATTAGTTATTGGGTTGTGAAAATCTGCGATCCACCATACACACAATTTTGAAAGAAAGTTTTAGATACTGTTCCATTTACAGATGTAATGATAACAATGCGCTCTTTGATAGGCCACAATGAAGTGTGAAATGCATGCATCATCTCAACTTTATTGGTCTCTACCGAATTCGATGATGAATTATCCTCGTCGTCGAGATACTTTGCAGTCGGTTCCAGCATGCCTTTCGGAACGTCAGTGATAGCGTACCTGGTCATGCTAGCACTGATTGTTTAATGAGGCAGAAGACATGAATCCATCATCGTTCACCACTCAAAAGATGCAAGTTCACGACGATGCTCGAAATCGAACCAGCGAATTCAAAGTCTAATAGCCAGGGTCGCTCACCACTCAACAGTGAACATCTCAGTCAAATTGTCACATATCCCAACCACCCATCACCTCAACGACCGAACAAACAATTTTCAAAGTCCACTTTCGACTTGAAATGCGAATAACTACACCTAATATTCTAAGGACATTCTCGGGGCACTAACCACAAGCAATCACCAAAAAATTTCTGAAAATCAATGACGATAAGCCCGTAACCTTCGCAAATCACCTGTTACAGCTCAATTATGCATTCTTACTCGATGACAGTACACCACATTCAAACTGCTGATTCTATGCAACCGTATCATTTTCGTGTAATATTCTTTTAAAGCACTTTTCCATTACACATCGCAAATAATTCATGCATTGTTCTAGTTAGCCTTATATGCTAACGCAACGTCACGAAATCGTATTGTTCGTTTTAGGACCATACAGCTGGCTTTTTAAAAAGTTCCATCGTGGCATTTAGTATGTGCGTATATTAATGATAATTATTGATAAAGTTTGATTTTCTCACATTTCAACTTTGAGTTTGCACAAAAATGCTGTATATATTGAGAAGAGTTTTGCATTTTTATGCAAATTTCGATTGTTTTTGAGCATTGATAAGTTGAACTATTTGGGGCTTACTCAATGCCATGGCTGATCTATCTGTTTTGATATGATCACTACGATAAGTTTGAATCGACAGTTGAGGTGAAGAAAAATTGAGTAATGAATGTGAAGGTGCAAGTTTAATGGAGAGCTTTGGTAATTGATCAGTGTTAATACTGTATTGTTGTGATCAACTTTAATTTCACATTGCACGTTTGCTTTCAGTATTGCTGTTATGATGATTAGGAATTAGCTAATGTTTGTTTGGTCGTTTCAGGATAAAACAATATTGGGTAAGTGAAGGAAAGATGTCATCAGGTCTATTCAGGGCCCTGAGGTTGTCGTACGACAAGCAGGAAATGGCCCTCAAAATTGTTATTCTGTCACTTGCAGGAGTTGTTGCTTTTTCGAGGTATTCATCTTGATTGTTTCTTTGATCTGTTTTTGTAGTTTCAACGGTGAACAATTTGCGATTCTTATAATATCTTTCTGAATTGAAATTATTGCAATTATTTGATTTTAAATTATTTGAAATTACTTCTGAAACTATTCCTGAGAAACTGAATTGAAATAATTTTTGAATTTGAATATATCTTGATTTTATGCAGATACTAAGTTTTATTATTTTTGTTTTTTTAACCCTCTTTGGCCAATGCTTTTCTAGCGACAAATACCTTACTAATGCTAATTTCTTTTACTAATGCTGATGCATTTTATTATTTCAAAACGCATTATTAAGGAACATGAATTTCCCTATCAATTAAGCAAATCAATTATTTTCATCTTGTGAATGTTTATGCGAAATTTCAGCCGACTCTTTTCGGTGTTGAGATTCGAATCGGTGATTCACGAGGTTCGTGGTTATGATTATTGTTTAATGAAAATGTTCATAATCTCAAATTTATGTTCAGTGAAAGAATGGAATGCGATGAAGTCGATTTCATTGTCACACTCGAATATTTTTTAAACTTATGATGGAACAGATTAAAATTGAAAAGATCGAAAATAACGATCTGTGTTATCACACTTGAAAATAATTATCAGAACTGATTTTAATCATTGAAATTGATTTGTTGAATTCAGTTTGATCCGTATTTCAATTATCGAACCACACGATTTCTAACAGAGCAAGGTTATTACAATTTCCATAATTGGTTTGACGATCGTGCTTGGTATCCACTTGGACGAATCATAGGAGGAACTATATATCCAGGTTTCTTGGAATTTTATATAGTTTTCAATTTTTGAAATTTAATTGAACAGAATCGTCGAATTGCTGCTTGAAAATTTCGAAAAATTTTTTTTTGATTCGTGAAGTTGGGAACGCAAAGTGATATTAAAGGAAACTTTTATCAGCAATATGCTTTGAACAAGTGACGTTTGGTCTCATTCTCCTTTAACGCACAATTCCAATCGACGCAATGATCGTTGTGATTTTTTGTTCAGTAATGTAACAATATAAAATGCTCGATGCCAAAATTAACAGCACAGTGTGTTGATTATGAATCCATAAACATACCAAGAGTTATGACTGTTAACAATAACGTTAAGATGTCTTGTCAGTGTGACAACTAATGAACAGAACACGATATGTTTGAAAGGAATGAGTACTGAGTTGAAAGGAAGCGAATGAATGAATGATTTGAAGGGTTAATGGTGACGAGCGCATTAATATATCGTGTTTTGCACCTGCTCAATTTCACGTTGCATATTCGCGAAGTGTGCGTATTTCTGGCACCATTGTTCAGTTCGTTCACAGTCATCGTTACTTATCTGCTCACGAAGGAACTTAAGGTCAAGACTGTTCAGCTACACTTTTTATTCACATTTCACAGCGGTGATTGTTTTTGTTATGCCGTTATTACAATTATTGTGATGGTGGTTATCTTTTGCGGACATTCTCTTTGCCGTTATTGTTAAGATGGCTTTAAAAAGGGAACATAGAAATGTTTTAGAGTGACGGTGCGGGTCTAATAGCGGCAGCACTGATAGCAATAGTACCTGGATATATATCTCGATCAGTTGCGGGTTCATATGATAATGAAGGAATTGCCATCTTCTGTATGTTATTGACATATTTTTTGTGGATTAAGGTTCATTTTAAATCTTATTTCATATTGATTTTTTGATTTTTTTTATTTGTTTGAAGAAATTTATTAAGATCTTCAAAAATATTCGGATAATTCATTGAGCACATATTTTCGACGGTTATTTGTTCATTAAAATTTTGACTGGTTTTGTCCTTTTGAATATCAAGCGAAAATTGTTGCTGAATGTTACCGAATTAAGTTTATTTTCGTACGAGAGATATTCACTTCGAAGTGACATTTTTGCTGTTTCGTAAATTTAATTCAGTGAAAATGACAAAAACTAAGGGGAATGTCTTTGAAGGCGGTCAAAACTGGTGTATTGTATTGGGCGATAGTGTGTTCTCTAGCCTATTTCTACATGGTTTCATCGTGGGGTGGATATGTATTTCTTATCAATCTTATACCTTTGCACGTTTTGGTGCTGATTTGTACCGGTCGTTTTTCACATAAAATCTACATTGCATATTCAACTGTAATATTTTATTCATTCGATCATTTATTATTCGTTTTTTCTTCTTTAAATTAGCACTGTTTTAAATTCCGATTATTTTCGAAGTATTGCGTGGTGAAACGAAATCGATTTGGATGATTTTGCAGTAGTGCTTAGTGGCAGTTTTTCGAGGATCTCGTAAATATTTCGAGAGTGAAATTGAAATCACATATTGGACGATTGTATTATGTTTGAAAATTAGGCTTTAAGAATACAACTAAAGAGAGTTTTGATTGAACAGGTTTACGTGATTGGTACGATACTTTCGATGCAAATTCCATTCGTCGGTTTCCAACCCGTGCAAACATCTGAGCATATGGCTGTATGTTTTCCTGTTTTCCTTATTCACAAAATACCTTTAGTTTGCATTTGTTATGTAAATGCGATATGACAATAAATTTGCGATTTGTAAATGCGACAATAAATTTTTGCAGAAAATAATTGACGATCAGAAAAATTACCAACTTAGCAATAATTCTAGTCCGGCAATACTTTAGCTATCAATTTGAATCTTTTTTTTTCGTCCTTCAACTTGCTGTCAAACGTTTATCAAATATTTTTGATGAAAAGAATAATAATGAAAAGATAAATGCTTCGATATCCGAAACAAGAGTATTATTTCTGAATTTATTTACTAATTTTTCGATTATTTTAAAGGCGTTCGGCGTATTTGGATTGTGTCAGTTGGTTGCGTTTGCGAATTGGTTACGTTCGAAAATGAGTGAAAACAATTTCCAAATTTTATTCCGATCAGTTTTAGTTGCAATTGCATCCGTTTTTGCTATGGCTCTCGGCGCGGCAACATTCCTCGGAAGTACGTATCGACGGATTCGTTCTTGTTCGTTATAAACTTTCATTTGTGATTTTGAATCAATAAACATCAAGTTTACAGAAATTGCACCATGGACTGGTCGTTTCTATTCGTTATTGGACCCGTCTTATGCGAAGAATAATATTCCAATTATTGCCTCTGTCTCTGAGCATCAACCAACTGCATGGAGCTCGTTTTATTTTGATTTACAATTCCTCGTCTTCACATTCCCCAGTTTGTTTTCACCATTGTTATTATTTTTTTGCTGAAAATGCGATACTTCTAATTTCATTTTCATCATTTGAGCTCTTCAAAAGATTTTTTCATAATATCAGTCTTTTCTGAATGGTGTGATGCGTTTAGCTGTCTTTTTTCTTCATTGGAAGTGTCCACAAAATCGAGTTTATTGAGTGTCATTTTTGGTCAAAAATTTCCACGCTTTCAATTGTTTGCTGATCATTGCGACGGATATAATGTTTAAATTATGTTCATTCATTGTTCATTAATCATTCTGATTGCAGCTGGTTTATATTTCTGTTTCAAAGAGCTGAATGACCACAATATTTTCATCATCCTTTACGGCTTGACAAGCATCTATTTTGCTGTAAGTTTTGTTTCATTTATTGACCAACATTAATTCTATTTCATGACTGTGTCACGTATTTTTATCAGTTAGTTGAACACAGCTATTTATAATGACAGTTCATTATGGTCGTTGTTTTGGAACAGTGAATAAAAAAGATGGGTGGAAGTGAACACTGCTGATGATAATAAGAAAAGAATGTAACAGGGAGTGATGGTTCGATTGATGTTGGTCTTAGCGCCAGTAATGTGCATACTGAGTGGAATTGCTGTATCGTCGTTACTTCAAACATATATGAAGAACCTTGACTCGGTGAGTATTCATTTAGCATCTGCTAAGCACGACAAGAAGGACAAAGACCGCAATTATCCATACAAAAACGAAGTTAGTTCCACATAATATTATTTTGTTTTGAATAAATATTGTTCAGATGCTCATCATAACAGTTGCTTTCCTTCCGTACTTTTCATATTTCACGAATTACCATTTCGATATCGTTCAGTTCATTCAAGTTCAGTTGTTGTTCGTCGTTGTTGTGAATTCTTTAACTGACTTCATCTGAAATTTTTGTGTGTAATTGAAAAAAGATGAACATAATGCGTGAAAAGATTCATTCAACCATTTTGTATAAAGCAACATGTAAATATTCACTGAATATTGTAGTAGGAGTATTTGCCCGATATTTATTGATAACTTCAGTTGAGCTGGTAATGATGTTATTGGTAGTATTAACAATAAAATTGGGGATAGTTCAGGTGGCACAAGGAGTGATTGGAGTATTGGCATTATTCATGTTCACTTACGTTTACCATTGCACCTATGTAACATCAGAAGCATACAGCAGTCCATCAATTGTTCTGTCGGCACATTCCGGTGATGGAGGAAATATTATCTTCGACGATTTTAGAGAAGCTTACTATTGGCTGAGACAGAATACACATCAGGTTATAAGTTATGCATGTTGTGTTGTATGCATTGAATGCGGTTGTTTGTAAAAATGAAGCGATTTGAGCGAGTGATTTATCGATGTGAATTTGAAGGATGCGAAAGTGATGTCGTGGTGGGATTATGGCTATCAAATAACAGCGATGGCGAATAGAACTGTTATCGTTGATAACAATACCTGGAATAACACACACATTTCACGTGTTGGACAGGTTCGTCTGTTATTCCCATCTCATCTCTCGTTCTCTTGAACATACGAATGGCTCGGCGAATGAAATTTTAATGTTAAACTGAAATTTCTTGAACTGTTCCAATTTGTGTTTTGTTGATGATTATTGTATGACGATATTTGTTAATTCATCATTCCCGAGTGACCTCAAAATAAGCTAATTCGTTCATTTATTTCTGAGGAAGTTGGAAATAGTCATTCGATACATATTTAGTAGATTTCATTTGAAGTTGTGTATCAACGAATAGAATATTACATTACATACATCCAGCAACCCTTGAAATGGAATATGATGATAACAGACCGAAGTTCGGTCGGTGAAATCCGTTGAAATTCTATCGACTTCCGAAATTCGGATTACTATCGAAGATTTTTGAAGGTCGGTCAGAAGACCGAATTTTGAATCCTCAAAAAGTCGGTTTGGTCGGATTCTAATCGAAAATTTTTAATTTCTGTCGAAATACCGAATTTCGGAATGTTAAAATGTCGATTCGGTCGGAAACCAATCGTGCCCAGATTTCATTGGGTTAAGGTAACACATAAAGTGCTGACATCTTGAAGGCGATGTCTTCGAAAGAAGAAGACGCATACGAAATAATACGTGAATTGGATGTTGATTACGTTCTCGTTATATTCGGTGGGGTTACTGGGTATTCGTCTGATGGTTCGTTGATTCATTTGTTTTGTTGCCAATCGATCACTTCTGATATTTCACACTCTCTCGAAATGCTGTCAAGATCAGTTTCGTTGAATATCGAGTCGATTTACCGCGTATAAAATTATTTTCGCTTAAGTAATTATGTCTAGTAGTGTTCCTGTGACTAATATTGCTAATATTTAATCGTGATTGATTGCAGACATAAACAAATTTTTGTGGATGGTGAGAATTGGGGGTTCGACTGCAGAAGGATCGCACATAAAAGAGAGTGACTATTTTACGAAATCGGGTGAATTTAGAGTGGATCGTGAGGGTTCATCAACAATGCTTAATTGCTTGATGTATAAATTGAGTTATTATCGATTTGGAGGACTGTACACGCAACAGGTTACATTTACCATATTGCGTATTGCTAATTTGATATCAACTAAATGAATCGTTACTAACTGTATAATCGAACACTCATATCTTATTGCTAAATGTTTTTAATTTTATCCAATTTCATGTTCAGTTTGCCATGTTTAGCAGTACCATATTAATTCGTCGATTTATCGTCGTATTTGAAAGTTTCTTTTTGAAAAATACTCATAATGAATTCATTCGGCTTCAAAGCAGTGGTGAAAGAATACTCAAAATTCATTGATTCTCGTATGCCTACTTTTCTTCGTTTGTATGGTAAACAGTCATCTCTGACCTGTATCAGAAAATTGATTGGGTGAATTGAAAATTTACTATCAAAATTTTGTTGGATATCAGACAAGCTGATTCGTCTTAGTTAAGAAGGCATCTTGAAAGCATTCTTGAAGAATCACAAGAAGCATATTCTACAAATTCTGTCAGAATCAATGTATTGGCTCCTATGATCCCTTCCGGCATCCTCAGATTCCATCTGGAGGGAACTTCGTCCCTATGAGGACCACTAGAGTAAAGGACCAACCATTTGAACTCATCTACCAGTTTTTCACGTTTATATTAAAATACAATGAAATGAATGAATATTTGAAGGGGCGTCCAACTGGATTCGATCGTGTGCGTCAATCGGAGATCGGTAATAAGGACTTTGCACTTGATTACTTGGATGAGGCATTCACCAGTGAGCATTGGATTGTACGTATCTACAAAGTACGTTGCTCTCATTCCATTTCTTACTTTTGAATTGTCTCGCTCAAACTGAGTTTTGAATGTTCATTTTCTAATCCTCTTTTTCGTCGTTTTATTCTTGTCACACCTTTTTTTGTTGTACATTAATTTATAACAGTTTTTTAAATGGTACAGTCTTTTCTAACAGCTTGTTTGTATCATTTTCATGTATCATCAGTGTAGCATTATACTGGTTGTTATTGAGTTTTTGAGATACGTTCTGTAATAGTACTGTCATCGTTTACTGATTCTATGCCTTTCATCAATCACTGTTCGTAAACAAATCAAGTTTTTCAGGTGAAACCACAAGATAATCGTGGACATAAATGAAGAGGCGAACGATGTTGTTCACTACTTGTTTTACCTCATTCATTCGCGGTGTCGAATTTTGAGATCATTTTGATTGAGTGTGATTATTTTGAGGATATTTTTTGAAATTTAAATTTTGATTAGCAATATTGTTATTGTTTTTCTGGATAATTACACTGAGCAATTAATTTATTTGTCACAAAGCACATATCAAGCTTGTACGATTATTGCAATGAAATTCGTTGTGTACTTAAATAATTATATTGTTGGGAAGAGCAGTGCAAAGCATATTTATTTGAGAGTGTTGTCCATTTTTATTATTGTTAAATTAAGAGGAATTATTATTGTTAACACTGATAGCGTTTCCTGAATTGTTCAGTAGTCGTTATAACAAAGTCAGTGATGTTGTTTTCCATATTGTTGTTTTGTTTTTTGAAACATTTATTAATTATCGGTTAATAAATTTTAATTCATTTCTGTTTTGGAATACATTTCAAATATCTTACATATTTGTTAACATTTCAAATATCTTACATATCTGTTATGGCTGATTTGTGCTTTGCGTTAAGAATGTTTGAAATTGATCTTTGTGCATTTGCTCAAGTGTGAATTCAAATATGGACAGAGAACGTTGATATGCTTTCATTCTTTCTTCATCATTGAACTTCAATTTCTTCCTAAACATCGCACTTTAGGAAGAAAGTATTCGGTTAAGTAAGTGACAGCATAGCTAGTATTTGGCAGAGTTCGTGTACAGTTATATTTGATGATAGTATGTTACGTTTACTGTAAAGTGAAAGATGTGGTTATTATCACAAATTAAAGGTTCATTACTAAAAAAACATGTAAAAGGTGGTGAGGAGTAATATGAACACCTTGACATCGTTGTTGAGGTTATTAGACTCTACCCTTCCGTTTGGGCAGCTGCACTCCATAGATGTGGAGCAGTGCTCGAACATTAGGATCGACAAACTACGACCCACTGGCTGCACTCCACCTTAGGGGTGATCCGTTTGGACGGCGGTTTTTTCGGAAATCTGTGGGATTCAGCCTGCAAACTGATTTCATTGGTCTCACAGTGGTCTTGGCTGGTCTGCAGAGCATTTCAAAGGATGTTTGGTTCCATGTAACGGAAAGAAGTACTTTCCTATTCACTTCATTTTACGCTTTTTTCTTCGTAAAGTTCGCTACATTTGCAAAGTTGTGTAAAATGCGATTTCGAGACTGATAAAAATAACAAGTGAGCATCATTAAATTAAATCCCTGCTCGTACTGAACAGTTTTTGCCATTGTATTAATCAACTTCTCACTGTCCGTTTTTTTCGACTGTTCGTCTTTTGACAATGGATTTCATCTCTAACTATAAGTTACCACAATTTCAACTGAAAATTCCAATCTTTTCCCCAGAAATATTTTCTAACAAAAAGTTTGGAGTTTCAATTTCTTCTCATAACATTTTGTCCGACAATGTTTAATAATTTCAAATTTTTCGTTTCCTTTCCAAAATTTCCAAATCATGCATTCAACACAATTAGATATCTGTTGACAAGGACATCTGCTGTCGAATATCTGCTTGTATTTTATAGGGAATACTATGATTCGCTGTTTGATTATTGACCATTGATAAAGTATTGTATCAATGGTACAGCTGAAACAAAAGCTCACGAAAACCGATAATAATGAGAAACAACTCTTGTTTTGATACAGGGTTGGTTGGGTTTTACAAATTGATCGTTTCGTGTCGGTGTCCGAAACAGTGTGAGTTTCTTCTCTGCTTCGTCTCAAACGTTCGAAAAGAAGACTGATAATTTGTGCTCACCTCGTTCCAAAACCCATCCAGAAATGCACATTTCTGACGTTTAAAAGCTAATGGCACAGCGATTTTCAAATCACAGCAGGAACATGGAACGTGCACAGTTCCAAAATTATAAAAATTTGGTACCTTTCGCATCAAATCGATAGTTCAAATGCAAAGCAACGACGAGACTATAATTCGGCTGAAAAAGTGTGCGGATCCGTGCTTGAGTATTAGCTGAGCACAGATCAGATACATAGAGATGGTAACCGACCGAGGTTCGCTCGGAACTTCAACATTCGGATTCCGAAGCTCGGTCGAAATGCCGAAAGTCGGAACCTCAATGTGTCAATTCAGTCAGATTCTGAGTGAACTGAAATTTCGTTCCAATGCCATCAGTAATTGAGATCTGCGGTATAATGCGAGAAAATCATGAGCATTCGAAAGATTATGCCTAATGGTTTGTTGAGATCACATTATTTGATCCCTTATCCATGTCATTCAGTCAGTGAATACGGTATTGTCTTAATTGCTATTCAAAAAACTAATTGTGAGTTCACATCTCCCATAAATATATCAAGGAATGAAGTTCGAAACGTTTCAAACGAATAAACACAAATCACAGCAGAGGCATGGAACAACTGATACAAGCACTGCTCTTATGTTTCTTCAAAACCGAAACACAAAACATAATCAAAAAAATAACCGATGGATACAAATAATACGTACTTCTTACTTTTGTACCGCAACATATAATTTTTCTCCAATAAAAGTATCGATAGAACGGAGAGATCATTTATTGAGTGCCTTTAACTGGCTATATTTTGGAGCAGTAAATTTATCTTCTTCAAATATATGATTTTTGAAATTTGTTTTATCTCGAAATTTTGCTGAGAATTTGATTATTCGTATAAAAATAGTGAATAAATTTCTTGAATTTACTCAAAAAATGCTCCAAATCAAAAGGCAAACACATTCGATAAGCGAAGCACTTATGAAAAAAACGGAGCTCTCGACGTATGATCGAATCAATACGATGTGAAAAATGAACTGCGCTCATCAGAACATCGAAGAAAAACAGCTGGCAATAACAGCAAGAGACGATTCGCTCTAGATAGAATGAAGTAATTTTCCGAATACAAAACTAAACATTAAAAATACAACATGAGTATGCATAAATATACAAATTTATACATATATTTACATTCACAGTCAGAATCCGCCGAAGTAAAAACACTTACACGAAAATATTTCCATCAGTATTAATCCGAACTCGTCGATGGCTCATTTGCAAATTTAGTGCACAATTTAAAATATATTTGTTCGAGATGAAGGACAATTGGGTGAATGAAAGAATACGTTTCAGATTGATTCGACAGACTAGAATTCAATTTGGAGCTTTGTATTATGATATAATCATTTCCATACAAATATATTGATGAAGCAAAGTGAATTGGTTCATTGCAAATAGTGCGAATGTGCATTATGCATCTATTGCCCATTCATTCTCGGCCAGAAAATGATCAATAACCTAAAAGAAGAGAGTCATTATTGAAGTTATAAAAAGTTTAAAATTACTCCATTATGATATCTGACAAAAACACACCATTGTGAATGGATTGAGCAGTTTTTCTCAACAGCTTCTCAAAATAGAAGTTATTGAACATGAGATCGGGGGAAGATTCCTTGAAGGCATAACCTTGTGAAAGAACTAAAAGTGTATCTTTCAGATTTAGGATAAATTTAAAAGAAAACAGCAAAAGCATAAATTGTCATAATTTTTCAGATCAGCATTTCAGTTATGCAGTAATTATTAAATGTTTGAATAATAAATGAGACAAATGAACCTCTTTCATGGCTAAATTCGGTATCAACTGATCGGAAGTGAGTGGTGCCCTGGTGACCGGATCAAAATGACCCACTTTTTGCAAGTGTTCCTTTATATCACTACGATCATATGTTATACCACTAGGCGTTATGACCGGATCCTTTAACATCTCGAAACTTATCTTACCACATAAATAATCTGGTACTTCACGTTTGCGTCTTCTTTCATCTACCTTCAATTTTATTCATCTGTAAATATTATTCATTGCATACAAATTATACTCGTTAATAACATATCCTTTTTTCTCCACTTGAAATCGTTAAACAACAAACCTGAGCAAACAGTTCGTTCAGTTTCTTTTTATTAACTAAATTCTCCATTCTTAATGCTTCTTCTTCTTCATTTTCTGCGTCCTTTGCCTTCTCCTCCTCTTCATTCAGTTCAATATCTTCATCATTCGCTCCCTGCTCCTCTTGATTTTCTATATTCTCTGAGCAGTCCATGTCATTTTCCTTCTTTTTTGCTGCCTCCTTAATTTTGAGTTCTTGTAATTTGCGTTGCAAATCTTCATCCATCAAACGATTCAAATAAGTTTGCAATTCTATTTCCTGTTTAATCCTGCAATAAGATAACATAAATCCGAAGAGGTCAGCGCTTCTTAGTTTAACAACTCGGCTCGGAGGGCACCTTCGATATGCGAACATAAGTGTTGCGAACAAAACTGGCTCATCTATCTGTTTCTGTCGAAAAGAATCACACACGGCAGCACCGCATATGGCTTCAAAAGCAGTTGTATTGCCATGTAATCTACTTGCAAATCAACAAGAACACCATACACTTAGCCTACAAACTGATGCACTTCACTAAAGGCGTAATCGAACCTCGCCATCTTATACGAAGTCTATGGGATATTAGAGTTGAAATGATACTTAATGAATGAGTGTGTTATAACGATATTGAAAATAACCTTTTCTCTTCATCTTTACGGAATATTTCACGTTTGGCCAGCCTCAACTGTGCAGTAATTTCATCACCAAAATTAAGTTTCTGACACATTGCTAAATCATTTGCGCGTGTCAACACTTTGATTGCCTCTTCATATTGTCCTAATTGGATACAACTTCGACCAAGAAAAAAATTGGCCTGGAAAGAGTACTTTGATTTAAAGAACAACGTTACAACTTCAAAAAATTACTTGACGCTATTTGAAATAAAAATGGTATAAAATAGATTTCAGAGCAATATCAAGCAACAACAATGATGACATTAGTAATATCATACCATACTGCTAATAAAACGACGACAATAGAAAATAGATGGTAACAAAGAAATCAATTGATCGAAGAACAAACCTTAACATTTTTCCGATCAAGTTCCAATGCTTTACGACAATCATTCGCCGCACGTTCCCATTGCATTAACTGCATATAACATAAAGCCCGATTTGTGAAATATGCCGGTATCACTGGATTATGAACGATTGCACTGAAATTCAAGTATTCGCTCGTGTAATCAACATTATTATTCAAAATGTCTAGCAATCAACTGACAAGCAATTTAATTATTTCGTGATGCGAATTCATTTCATCAATTAGTCAAATACTCTTCTTGAAAGATTTGTTGAAAGAACATGTTTCCATCGATTCATCATATTTTGAATACGGGAATCGTAATGAATTGATTACAATTCAACGCTTTTGACAAATATGTTGTTTACTTCTTAGCGACAGTAACTGATCAGTGATACGCGCCAAAACCGCAACAAAGTTTTAAATATTCGAAAATAGTCACAAGTGATTTTATTCGCACACATTTTTGAAGGAAATGAAAATATATACGAAGAGTAACTTTGAATGGAACAATGTGAAGAATAGTATAAAATGATTACCGATTGTATGCGTTAATGGCCTCTTCATATCGACGCTGCTGAAAAAATTTATTCCCAGATTCTTTGAAATCATTTGCTACTTGTGTTGACATTACAACTGAAATTAGGGCAATAATTAATGCTGACTGTGAGTTCAACATGATGAGGTCCCTGTCTAACGTAACGAGTAGAACGAAATTCCGCTACGAGAAACTTTTTGATAAAGCTTTTCAGGCATTCGTAATTATTTAGTTAAATGCTTTCAGGGTCGGTTTAAAATAAACGAGAGGTCATCACTGGACAATGCTGATGTTTCATATAATCCATGAAAATAACACAGAAAATCACTCGATCATCCTTACGATTTTCGTTTAGGGCATAATTAGCCTTTTCGACTAGGCAAAACAAAGAGTTTTTTAATGGGGCAAAAGAGGACTTTCGAAGGAATTCACTCTGTTTCCTCTCAAGGCTGGATGTAGAACTGCATTATAACTGATTACCTTTATGATGACGTCGAAAATGCGGAGCCGTGATGACGCCTGTTGTAGTGTTGAATGACTTCTTACCAATCTGAAAATAATCGAAACTATGAACGAAGCATTCATTAATCAACCAAACTGCAAATGCAATTCGAAGAACGAAATTCAAATTTCAGAATGGATGCTTACGAGTGATTATAAATGAATATTTTCAACAATATTAAAGTTGAATGCAATTATTGATATAATGATCATTGAAGATCGGTGCAACGTTATAAAGTGAAACGATTATGATGCTCGTTATTAATAATACTGCAAAACTGATCGCATGACGATACATTATGCATTATTGAAATGTTTGCATTTATCATTGCGAATTGATCATAGACCGTTTCCGGAATGTCAAATCTACTCAAACTGAAGTATTCACGATCACGATGAGCACCACATCGGTTCCGATGATCAGTAAACAATATGTGACCTTTCACTCGATCGCTCTTAACGTTTAAACGCTTCAAATTAAACTTTTTATCATGAAAATTTTCCGACACACGGAATATTTGGCAACAGCACTGAAACTACGGAGAGGAGGAAATAACCATTATTGGCACAGCGTCCTAACAGTTTTCGCAATCTAAATCATAAGACGCAACACTTGCAATACCGTAGTAAGACGATGAGCACGTAGAGTGCAAGAAACGCTTATAGGAGGTTGATATCGGCTGGATGGTTTCAACATTGGTGCGTATGATCCTGTGCGAGTTGGATATGTCAGAATTGAAGTTTTTTGTAGATGGGATGAATGTTTGCATATTCTGTGCTTATCAGCTGAATTTACGTGATACGTGCTACTGTCACCGTTTTTGCGCATGTGTTTTCATTGTGAAATTGCGTATGAAGTGATTCTGATGGTTGTATACTTATAACATGTTTATTTTATTTGCTGTCTTTGAATTTGCTTGGAGTCATGTAAATTCCTTCAGATGTATTGATTATAGAGGCTCATGTGGTGTTTACGTCACTTTAACATTAATTTTACCACTTCTTCCTGTCAGGCGTTGCTTAATGAGCGTAATTAAGCACAGAGATCATTTCTTTTGAGGCGAGTTCTCTGCAAACACATTTCGAGCATCATGGTTATTTATGAAAATCTCAGAGATGCTTCCATAAATTCAACGAATTCACTGCTGTGAAAACCATAAACATGCTGGTTAAAATCAGAATGTCCACGAACATCTTTTCAATGGTTTTCATCATAATCGGAGCAGAAAAGGGAAACAATCCAGTACTCGCGTTGCCGAATTTAACAATCAGACAACTCTGCTGTACAAGGAACTCTCCCAAAAACCACTCTGCCGGTGCAAAATTCGGTTGCGGGGAATATAAATTGTTTTCTTAGCGGCTTGATTGCATAGATCCAGCGTTTCCACAATGCACTTGCTCTAGTGTCCCTAGTTCGACTCGCGAAAGCTTACCTCGGCCCGGGCCAGGCAGTTCGGCACTTCTTCGAAAAATCGTATTTCAGATATTATAAACTTGTGAATTGAAGTAAAACCAGGAGCGAAAAGATGACTGAATCAAGACAAACACAGTATAAAAATGTTGGAAAGGATAGTGACACGTTAAGAAAGAATCGTGTTGAGAATATTGTTTCAATTCGAAAAGACAAACGTGATGAAACGCTTTCGAAACGACGCAACATTCCAACCGAGTAATCAGATCATTTCATATCATTATTTATTTTATTCTGACTAAAGGGACATGTAATGGAAGTCACGCTAAAAATGATGGTGAACTAAAATTTGAGGTCACTGGAATCAGATGATGCATCAACAAGCGCTGGTGGAACGATGGGTAATTTGGTTGATAAGCATTCTTTACAAGACATTGTCAAGAGGGCTAGCAGTGAGGACCCTGACGTTCAAATGGCAGCTGTTCAACAGGTAACTATTATCATTATTCTCCAGCAAATCTTACCTCAGCTTTGGTATAAAATGCTTCTCAAGTATTTTTGACATGTCAATATTCAGTATCTGCTTGATATGTCATCAATATTCAGTGATCTACAGCTTAGCCTGAAATGCATCCCGTACTTTTGTTGGTTACTAACATTCAGTTAATTCAAGTACTGTTTGCCAGTTCTAAAGAGAGCTATTTATATAAATGTAGACATTAGTAGAAGCCGTGTGTTACAGGCACGTAAGCTTCTATCGGCAGATCGCAACCCACCAATCGATGATCTGATTGCATCTGGTATATTACCGATCCTTGTGCACTGTCTCCAGTCACCAAAGTTTGTCGTTGCTCATTCTTACCAGTCACATGTCAATATGTACTTTAGCATTATTCGATGAAATAATATAAGTATAATGTTGATGAAACAGGAGTACGTAAGTACATTATAATGATTGATTGCAGTGTAAATCTTCAATTCGAGGCAGCATGGGCATTGACAAATATAGCATCAGGAACATCACAGCAAACACAAGCAGTTGTACAAGCCGGTGCAGTACCATTATTTTTGGAACTTTTATCATCGGGCAACATGAATGTTTGTGAACAAGCTGTATGGGCTCTTGGTAATATCATCGGTAGGTTTTTGTGCATTGTTTTACATACTCATTTGGAATGTGTTGAAAGGAATACTGAAAGGAGAGTGAGAATTGATGACGGCGAATTGATTGTAATTTTGAAGATTGGAATGAGAAAAGGAGAGAATGTTTAGGAGTGAGTTGGTAGATTTAGTAGAATGAGTCGTTACGTTCTACGAGCTCAGTTTTACAAACGTACTGCAAATTGCGAATTGTTTGCGTTGTTTTAATATTTATACTTCGGAACGAAATTCTTGGTTTTATTAAAAGTGTTATTTTGATGATCTGATTTCCTTTTAAAATTTCCTTTATTCATTCTCATTCGTCGTTTGTTTCTGTTGAGTCTTATTACACTGTATTTACAGTTTTGTGTGAGTTTATTAATTTTTCGCTGCAATTCATTTTCAAGAACAAGGGAAAGTAATGTTGCAGGTGATGGCCCTCATTTCCGTGATTACTGTATCCAGTTGGGAATCGTTCAACCATTACTTAAATTCATAACGCCTGACATACCGATTGGATTCCTAAGGAATGTCACTTGGGTGATGGTCAATTTGTGCAGATCAAAGGTTGTCTAATTATTTCATTTAAATCATCACATCTCAACCTGCTTTACGCTTCGTAATCGTGTGATATTCTATGCAGTTCCAACAGAAACGTATTCGATTTTGATTCGTTTCTTTATACATATTAAATTCTCAAGAGTATACATTCGTAATTTTGATTGCTGCTCTTTGTAATTTTCTGATCAATGTGGCCGTTGTCAGAAGATTGATATTTTGGAGAGGTTTCACGAAAATGCGAATTTCTTGTCAAGAAACTGGCAGGAGGATATGTGACTAGATGTTCTTTCCAAATTGTAGGACCCTCCTCCATCAGCAGAGATTGTGCAGACACTACTGCCAGCACTGGCACTTCTTATTCATCATAACGATCAGAATATACTTGTTGACACCGTATGGGCATTATCGTATCTCACTGATGGCGGTAATGAGCAAATCCAAATGGTCATCAATAGTGGGGTTAGTTTCAATGTCATCCTTATAATGGATGCCATTTTTTTGTCGAACCACTTTTGAATGCGAACAGTATAGTGTGTCCTAAATGTAAATGATTTTAGTGTATCTTTTTCACAAAGGATTATTCCTCAAGAAGAATTGCTATAAAGTATAACTGACTGAATGGATGATAATTATGATAACAGCAACTATTCCAGGTGGTGAGTCATCTAATACCGTTATTGTCACATCCTGAAGTGAAAGTTCAAACAGCTGCGTTACGTGCAGTTGGCAACATTGTAACGGGCACTGATGAACAGACGCAATTGGTCCTGGATTGCGGCGTTCTACAGCAAATGCCTGCACTTTTGTCTCATCAAAAGGAAAAAATTAATAAGGTTTCGAATTTATTATATTTATGTTGTTATTACTGCATTTTATAATTCTTGGAATAACATGTAGTTATCAGACGATTTCAGATGAGAACATTGTCCATTCTTTCAGAATGCATTGTCTTTACCACTTGAATTCGTTATTGGTTGTCACTTGATATAATTCGATTACCATTGTAATTATTGTCATGTTGTTAATAGCGGTGTACTTTCGTTAAGGAAGCTGTTTGGTTCCTCTCGAACATCACGGCCGGCAATCAGGCGCAAGTGCAAGCGGTGATTGATGCTGGATTGATTCCAATGATCATCCATCTACTTGAGAAGGGCGATTTCCAAACGCAGAAGGTTCATTTCGTCTTTATGCTCAATTGATATTTTCTTACAATTACGCTGATTTATGTTTAATTGTTTCCTTCTCGATTATATTTCTAAAACAATCGTATTTTATGAGCGTGATTCAACTATCACCATGATATTAATAACACAAAAAATTGAAGCTGCAAGTCTATTCCTTACATAACATATCCTTAATAGGAACAGTAGTAATTATTGTGAAGACCATGCTTTAAAATCAGTGGATTTTTGTAAGTTACTGTTCATCAGAAGAAGAAGAGGAATGAGATAAATAAGAAGGAGATTGAAGGAAGCGGCATGGGCAGTATCGAACGTAACGATAAGTGGACGTGCCGAGCAAGTGGAATATATGGTGCAACAAAATGTTATTCCACCGTTCTGCGCATTGCTCTCAATACGTGACTCACAGATCGTACAGGTTGTGCTGGATGGTATTAATAATATACTGAAAATGGCTGGACCTCGTTCCGCATCCGTTTGCGCCCAAATTGAAGAATGTGGAGGTAATTATTAATGAGTGTTGTTAATTGTTATTGTGGTTTGCTGTTGTTTTCGATTTGATGAATGGAATATATTGAAGGGTTGGACAAAATCGAGCATCTGCAAAACCATGAGAATGAAGAAATCTATAAATTGGCTTATGAAATCATTGATAATTATTTCTCATCGGAAACGGATGATGAGGATGCAATCGCAACACAATCGTCGAATCACTTCCTCGATACCACCGAACAGTCGATTCCATCCGAAGGATTCTCTTTCCAATAATTTCATCTTTTTTCAGTTTTTCATTTCATTACTTAGCCTTTATTTTTGTTTATTGTTGTTTCATTATTCATATCGATCATACATTACCTTATGAATAATCTATCTATAAATCTTTCCCGTATCAAAACCTATTCTTATACGTTATATCACGTGCCCCAATTCCGTCTAAATCTCATGCAGTTCCATTAAGATTCCACCCATCCCTTTTAGAATTATGTATTCTGTTTGAGAGACAGCAATTTGCGTTTTGCATTGATTTTATCTAATCTGTCTGTATTGTTATTGATCTTATTTACGTCTCAAATTTTGCTGATAACAACACATTTTTATCTCATGACGTTTATTTTTGCATTTTTGTTTCTTGCTTTCCCAAAAGTTTAGATCCATTTCAATGATCACGTTTAGCCTCTGTATGTAAAGATTATTCATTAGAGTAGTCGACTCAGTATTCAGACTAAAAGCTTAAAAACGTTTTTTCGTAATATTTTGTGTTGTTTATCAGAACTCCACACTGTATTGTCTGTACCTCACTAATCAGTAGATGATTTCAAGTCTTCTGTAATGTGAGGGCGCTAAATTTTATTAAGTTTATTCTTTTGAAGTAATAAATTCTCTCCTAGACGCTGCCTTATTCGAAGTGATTTATTTGTTGTCATATTCCGCATCTAATTGATTTATGAATCGAACGCAGCGTCTGCCAGTCATCGTCTAATATCCCGCTCATTGTCTTTATATCTTACGAGTCTTTTGTTTTGATTTTTTTTTTCGTTAACCTGAATCATTATTCATATAATGATTATTATTCAGCATTGATTCATTTTTAGATGTTAATAGTTTTTGTTGAAAGTGATCATGTAACATCGGAATGTACAATTTATAGTAGTGATTCGATTCTGAGTTTTTCGTTTCAGAATCAGTCGATGCTTGGAAATTTATGTATAATTGCAAGTGAATGATGTTGTCGTGTCGTAACGACACATCCATTTATTGTCTTATATATAGCGATCAATGCTGAATTTTTGTCATCAGTTTGCAAATTTTCATCACTCTGCCCTCAATTACCGGACATGAGTCTTTTGGCCCGGTGCTTTTAGATTGTCTTTATAAGTCTATCTCTCCTTGTGCGTCTCTTATTGCCATTCGTCTTGTTAGCGTTTGTGTACACCTTTCGATTGCTGCTGGTTATTCGAATGCTCTGATTATAAAGGTCTTATGAAGTTCGCGTCTTCTTGCTGAAATTCGGATTCGTGATAATTTGATCATTTTTGGCGTACGTTATTTTTGCTTCGAATGAAATGAGGAATATTTTTTTTAACTTTAATTTCCTTTTTTTTCTAGTTTCGTTTCTGTCATTGCTGCCGTTAATACTGCAATGGATGTTCGTCTTTTCAGCTGTTCCGCAGCAGGATGTTTTCTTCATAGACGTGTAATGCCTATTGAGGCGTCTCTGTAATTTTTTGATGGTCCCAATTGTTTTCTTTGTTTTTGTCGTTGTCTTTTGACGGGTCCCCCAATGGCACTTTATGCAGATTTTCTATGAAAACAGATTCAAAAATTATCTTTATAAAAGCTTTCGTTGAGTGTCAACTTAAATTTTTGTCATTATTGAATTCTCTATCACGAAATGTTCATTATTTATGGCGTGACTAAGGTTCATGTTATGAATACTGTTATGACCAATCTCATTCGTTATCACACGTTAGTGCCACGTTATTGTCATTGTTATTTATTATTGGTTGTTATTGTCGTTAGCTTTCTTATCACTAGAATTCTCGTTGAATTCAGCGAAAGAACGGCCTGGTGATTTTAGTAGTGAGCTTCTCTTGATTGAATAATTTCGATTACGTTAACATCAGATCGTTTATTCTGTGTAAATGTTATTGTTTTGATAGTTTGAAGGTTGTGCTTTTCATGAATTCAGCGGAAGAATGGCCGGGTGATTCTAGTAGTGAGCTTGTCTTGATTGAATGATTTTAGTTCAATTAAAATTAAAGTGAAATGAGTTGCAAGATATTAGTGATGATACTATTCGGTAGTTATTCCAGTCCTGTCCTCGTAATCAGCAACTTTTCCCATTGCTCACCCACAAATTTAATCCAGTTTATTATTACAATGGTGATTATAATTATTATTCTTAAGTGTATTCGTGTATTCGAAACGATGTCTTTTTGTTCTGTATTCCGTTGTCTCCTCTCATCCGGATCTGCTCCTGGTCCATGTTGTTGTCTCAGTTTGCTGTTCGCTTCTATCTGTGCGTCTGATTCATGTCATGCTGTCTTTTGTCTTGATTCTGTCTGAATTTCCCCGCACATTATTTGTCTAGTTGCGTCTCTCATCCTCGAAAGCTCCTCTTCGTCCTGTGCTACTTTCTTAGTCATATTTCTTGTTTTTAGTAATGCTCATTGGCAATGTTATTATTGTTTTCGTGCTATATTCTATTTTCAATCCTGATTTCATCCTGCATTTTTTTGCAGTAATCCCCTTTGCTTCATAACTGATGCAGTGATGAAGTGCAGTTAATCCAAGAACCGGAACAATAGCGGCAGTTTTATTTTCATTTTATTGTTGGGGAATGGAGATGTGAATGACTTATATTACTAAAGCATTTTAAGCTTAATGAGGATCATTCTGAAACGTATATTTGAGAAGAGGATTATGAATACATCGGTGAAATCAGTAAAGCTTCTCAAAAACATTTTGTTTATCGCATTCATTTCGACACTATTTAATCAATTCAGTCATTTTGATCTTTGAATGATATTTATTTGTGCTTCAATATTTACGCCTAAATAATATCAATCATAAGTCGTTTGTTTTTGAATGATTTTTCAAGCAACTGTTAAGAAGGTTTGTTTGACATTTATTAATTCATTTCATCTTTTCGTTGTTGTTATCATCGTTTCTTTTGAAATTATACGTTTGGGAGTGTTGTTTCGAGTGAACTACACAAATCTTCATTTCAAAAACTTCTGCTTATCAATATTCTCTATGAGTTGTCATCGTTATTTAATAAAGAGTTAGTTAAATCCTTCATGATAATCAGCTATGAAAATCGTTAACGGTTCGATACCATCATTGAATTATTCTTTGAAAATATCACGCATATACACACTTTGAGTGGATTTTCGTCATAAGGAAGTTCGAGTGACGCTTCCAGTGCAGTTCTCTCTGCGCTCATTGTCTTCATTGATTATCGACGAATGAATCGCAGTGTGAACAAAAAATGCGATTCAGCTGGATAGGGTACTTCAGCATGGCTTACGAATAGCAGAAGTGGTTCGAGTAAGGGGAAGTAACAGGGAAATATCATGGAGGAGCGCAAGCACAGTTACATTCTGAACGCGCTCACAAACGGTCACTTATAGCCATCCACTCACTTATCAGCTGTATTTCATAATCAAACAAATTCGTTACTCGTTTCGAACATACAAACAGTAGAAATTTCAAAAGGATTTTCATCAGCAAATTAGATCTGTTCAATTCTTCCTTGATGGCATCTCTTTTGTTTTCTTGTTATTTTCAGTCTGATCAAGCAGATGGGGTCTAAAACTGAGGTGGATGCACCGAAGCAATTGGTTTATTATTGGTTGATTTAAGTTTCGGTAGCTAAAGTTGTTGAACGTTTCTTGTCGATTGCCAGAGTTTTCTAATGAAGTTTTCTTGATTCATAAACTGGATAGGGTTCCATTTAACTTTAATCAAAGTCGTGCACTCGGGTGCCAATTACAAATTTCAGTTTTTCGATTTCACGTTCTCTCGCATTGACCTTATATCTATTCGTATTTACTGTTGATCAGTTTACTGGTTATTGTTGTGTTCAACAATGATGTTCACTGTTGCCTTTTTGCAATTCTCACAATTAGTAAAATTGGTCGTTATATTTTAGAGGACTAAAAATGAAGCCGGAAAAGTTGGTGTGTAAAGTGCAGAATTATGAGTGGGGTCGTTTAGGAAGCGACAGTTTAGTGGCATCATTGAAGCATTCTGCACAGAGTGATTTTGCAATTGATTGTGCGAAACCATATGCGGAGGTTATTCTTTCAGTCAGTCTCATTTCACTTCGTCGAAACAAAACTGATTTTATGATTATAAAAGTAAATATTTCTGGTGTTTCGTTTGTATTCGTGAACGAGGTTCGTCTTCACAGAACATTTGTGATAGATCACACGTCAACAACCTCACTGAATTCATTGTTTCATTCATTTGAATATCGATTTGTTTGGAACATCCAGAGATTTGGATGTATTTTGCAATTTCAACTGATTGTTTTGAGTTATGGATGGGAGTGCATCCAAACGGCCCATCAATGCTATTGTCGAACGGTGAATCGTTGTCAAAGTTCATAGAATCGAATAAATCGTCACTAAGTAATCACGAAAACGGTACTCTCCAATTTTTGTTCAAAGTGTTATCGGTGAATAAAGCTTTATCCATTCAGTCACATCCAACTAAGGTTCACTCTATTCATATTCATTTTCTTCCGAGAAAAATTTTTTTGTTCTATATTTTTCGAATTGTTCAAAAAGATCTTTCAAATATTCACTTGTTTTTTCTTCTGTATCGCTTTATTTTTGTTGAAAAAAATTAAAGCAGCAATCAAGTTTGATATATCACATTATGCAAAACTGAACTGCAAGTAATAAATTTAGGTATTCGTGAAATATGCACAATTGAATTGGATCTGGATTGATTTTAAATTGATTTATCTAGTGTTATTTATTTGCCTTTTATGCTTGAATGCTTCAATGACCGTGTTGGAAACAGTATTTTTGTGTGCAAAGAATAATAACATGAAATGTATTTTCGGTGTTTTAAAGGAGCAAGCAAAAGAACTTCGTGCAAGGGATCCGGCTCATTATCCAGATGATAACCATAAACCGGAAATGGCGATCGCGCTAACTGATTTTCAACTTTTATGCGGATTTAGACCATCTGATGAAATTTTCAATAATATTAAAGGTTTTTTCACTAATTTCAGTCATAAGAAGCATTTGTCGTAGCCAATTTTAGAGGAAAAATTTATTATTATCTCACCAAAACGCCCTCGATCAGTTCAGAGTAACAGCAAAATCGATTGAATAGTCAGTCATCCAGATGAGGTGAAATTATTTCGTTTCAGCCACGCCAGAATTACTGTCACTGATAAAGAATAGTGATAATGTTTTGAATGAACTGAAGACGGCAGATGATAATGGCAAGCGTGTTGCGTTAAAGCAATTATTCACAGATATAATGAAATCGGAATCGAATATTGTTCGTTCATCGATAGAAACTATGATTACGCGCATCAAAAAAAGTCTGTTTTTTGTGATTCATTCAATCGAGATGTAAATTTGTTTGCATTTAATTCACTGTTCTGTCAGCGCTTCTCATTGATTGTAGTCAAAAGAGATTTTTTGAACTGTTTTTATACTGAACAATATCCATTATTTTTGCGAGTAAAATTTGTAGAAAAATGCTTCAATTATTCGTTTTGCTGTAATATGATGCAGATGTTCCGAAATTTATTCACACACAATTGAACGTAGCATCTATGCAAGATGAGAAAAAGATTCCGTCTCGACGATTACAACGCTTTTAGAAGACACTCAAACAGCTCTGGACAATCTTCTCATCCGATTGCATGACGAGTTTCCGGGTGATGTTGGGATTTTTTCGGCTCTACTTCTCAATTACTATACTCTCAAAAAGGGCGAATCTGTATATCTTGGACCCAATCAACCGCATGCGTATTTATTCGGAGGTATATATCTTCGCTTTTATGGATAGTGTATGTGAAATTTATCGGGATTTCATAATTTGAATCAGTTTTCCACACTGATGTGACGATCCCATGAAGTGGCATTTTGTTGGTGATATCCAAGAAGTGAAATCGCTTTCAGCGTTTATGATTTAGTGTGATTTAGACTGCATCGAGTGTATGGCATGTTCGGACAACACGATCCGTGCTGGTTTAACGCCAAAATTCAAAGACGTTGATACGTTGTGTTCGAATTTAACTTTCCAGATGTCACCACCACCGTATTTTAAGCCAAGGCAGCTGTCTGAATCAGTCGTTGAATATGCACCGCCTGTTCACGAATTTGCTGTCCATCAGATTAAGGTTTTTGAAATTTTTAAATGTATTTTCGTATGAAAATTAATTTGTATGAAAAGTATTGCTGACAGTAAGATTTAACTGATTATCAAGCGTTAAATGGGTTGTGCAAAACTTTTGAAATATTCGGGCGGGAATGAACTCATGTTTTTTTGGGTTGTAAGTACTAAATTGTTAGTAATGAACAGTAAAATAGTTGAAATATTGCTGATTATTTTTGTAAGTGAATATCGGTGAATTAATGTAAACAAGAGAAATGTTCAGAAAGGCGAAAGTCTTCTATGGAATGTGTATGCGAGCAGTATAATGATCGTGGTAAGTGGACATACTGAACTGATGATAAAGGATAAAGTGGAAATGCAAGTTAACGTTGGCGAAGTGGTGTTTATAGCAGCTGATTGTGATGCAGTCCATGTGCAGAACACTTCTGATGATTTTATTGCGTACCGCGCTTTTACACCCATCCCGAAATAATTCCTCGAACGAGCAACCTGTGAATCTATTAAGCATGTATAACAATGACAAGCATAGTCCAGCTTTCAAAGTAAGTCTATGTCTGAACTCGAGACTTGATCCAGTGGATGGAACTAACACCTGTATATGTATACTGCTTCGACGGTTTGCAGATTGCATCTCGAATTTTTTATTTTTTAGTTCAGCTTGTTTCTTTGTTTTTCGCTTTCACTTTGTTATATTTCATCTTCAAGCGATATCGCAGAGAAAGTTTTGTTTGTTAGCGAACTTAATCGTTTGGTGAGATTATTTTAAAGACGCTGATGCCGTGTTTGTCGTAACTATTCAGTTGTGTCGTTTTGAATATCTTTACTATGCTATGGTGATTCAGTTAGGTTATTTCTAAGCTTCTTGTCGAATCCTTTTCTCAGTCATTTTCCTCGGTGATCTTTTGCACGTGAAGTATTATGTCTTATATTATATCATTCTTTATGCATTAGTTTTATGCAATGACTTTTGCGTTGTATTAATATCGTATGATGCATTAAGTGTGTCATCACAGATGTCAAAAGTTGATATTGTATTGTGTACTGCCTCTTGTGTGTGATGATATTCGTTTTAATTTCTTATTAGCTGTTCAGTATTATTGTTTTTAATTTGGTATTGTTGATACTCTTTGATAGTTTGTTTCAGTGATCATCTCATCAGTATTTATCTTTTTTGTAAATAGTTAGGTATGGTTATTTACGTTTTTTTGCTCAATTCGATGCGATTCTTTGAGATATATTCTCATCGTTTTGAATCTAATTTTAAGTCGGTTTGTCATTTACGCTTGGTTCTCTTTAGTGATTTTTCAAATTTGATATGCTGGAGTGTGTTTGGGATAAATTGTTACTTACACATTCTGTTCATTCTTTTTTGATGAACATACCGCGTTTTTATATCCACTCAATACCTCGCGGAACCTGATTTTTGAAATTTAGTGTTGTGGTCATATTTGGCTTTAGTGAAACGATAACACTTATCGATATAACGTTGTACGATCTAAACTCTTTGGAAGATTTACGTCCATGAACACAGTTCACGAGTTTTCTGTATGTAGACATTGCTAATGGGAGAAAATGAGACCAAACAAGCTTCAGTTGTTTGATAACTTCAATTGTCAAATCATGTTGGTTGCATCTGAGTTGATGTGTCCTGTTTTGGTATGGATCACAAGTCAATCTGTTACGTCAGCAATTGTTTTGCTTATCTTTATCAAGTCGGATTAAGTGAAAATTGGTATTGCAATCACTTTTGCTGCTATGTTTGCAGTTAGGCGATTGAGCACTCCAGTCGGTTTCATATTCATTCGGAACCTGTGGTCTCGCTGACCTTTGCCTTATTCATTTGTAGTCAGAGCCAGTGATCGTTTAAAAGCCATTCGAACCATGAATCTGCATCAGACGTTTCAATGAAATTCCTATTCCATTTCTATTTGCTGTGTTCAGAATATCTCTGATGCAGCTGAACTTCAAGATGTTAAGAATGCCTTGTCCTTGGGTTTAGATTCAGCAGCAAAATCCGGTGGAACTAGGCATGGATTGTCGTTTTAGATACGAGATACAAGCTGTCTAAATCGGCTTTTTTCGCTGTCTGCGAAGTGATAGATTAACTCACTCGTGTGTCTCCCATCAAGATATCGATCGACCTATATGTATGCAGCGTTCATAAACTGAATGCGTTTCTTAAATAGGGTTTGCTTCGAAATTCCTATTTGGAGTTGTTTGGTTGAATGATTTGGAATAAGCAAGCTGGTGATGTTATATCATCGTTGTGGTGATAATGACATACTGAGTGTGAGAACTTGCTGATTATTTTGAGTATTGCCTCATACCTTATGTGTTATCGATCGATATGGGATAATTTTCTTACATATTATAATGCATCGTTTTGTATATTAGGTAGGATACTGATTCCTATATTTTAGCTGGTAAACAGGTACATGATTATGGCAGCATTTTTTGGTAATTTTTGTAGTTGAGGTTGGTAAAATCAAAATGGCATTTCGTTTGGATTGATTCACAGTTGGATGTGCGTTGTAGCATGGCTAGTTCTAAGCACACTGGATATCCAACTGCGAATGCGTACGAACAAAATGGCGCTTTGATACTACCAACTTAATCTACAAAATTATCCATGTCGCAGAATTGAGCGATTGGTTTTCGTCTTGGAGAATTTATTCGGTGTAGAAGCCGTGCTTATCTTCTCTGGTTGAGAATTTTGCATTTGGACAATTTTCTTTGACAATCTTGTTGTACAATTTTACGTCCGATAGGCTATGCTCTTAAATATTGATGTAACATTTATCATATAGATTGAATGAGAGTAAATCTGAAGACGTTTTGTTTATTGATTTAATTACTGTCATTGTACTGTCGAACGGCAACGATTGGTGAATGAGTGCATTATGAATTTATTATATTTTCTTCAGCAAAAATGATTGGGGAATCAAATTATATAGAAATAATGAAGAATTGCTCTAATTGGAACAGCCGAATCGAAACTGAACGAAAAGGTCGTTATCCAGTATTAGATGCACAAACGGGTATTGCTCAACGACCGTCGCAAAATTCACCTGTCACTTTTGTCAATCGTTATTCGTCTGCTTTGCCCTCACAGGTTTTTTTCACATCATTTCATGATCCTCGAATATTTTGATTATTCTTTTGAGAATGTCGGGCACTTGTAATTGTTTTTCGATTCATTTTCAATCTTTTGCTTTTCACATTCTTCCTTGAATGTGCTAAATAAGTGATTACGATTATTGTGCTATTGATGGTGATCAAAGCAGCAATAATGATATATGATAACAGGTGTGCGTGTATATGAGCAAAAGATGGAAGAAGCGTATCGCAGCTCCATCATCAGACGCCACTGAAATGAAGTATATTGTGCAATGCAATCCAGCAATTAACGACGTTCTCAACCAAACAACAACTAATAATTCGCAGTCTGGTTCGATTTCTTCATCAATCTCATTTTATTCGATAGTTTAAAACGTTGGCTTCGTTTCATGTTGCAGCGGTGACACTTTATTACCACTGTATCCTTTGTTCGATGAGTTGGTCATTACATGGGAATTCTTTTTATGAATAACATTCTGTGAAGTTTGGCAAATCTAGAAAGCAAATATGTTTCAAATTAATGTTTTGAGTTTGGCAATATGTTTAAAACGAAATTAATTATGATGTTTTTGAGCATATTACATTGATTTGTTGAAAGTACTTTTTAATTAGAAATGATTCTTAAGATTTTTCAATGGTAAGTGGTGAAACTTCGTTAACGCCGAGTGAAATTGTGCAAATCGAGAAACGATCCATCAAAATACCTTATGTAAGTTATTAATTTATTTGCTTGTTAAGATTTTGAAAGTTTAAGTGAATGGAGCGAATACTGAAAAAGATAAGAAGCAAGATGATGTAAAATTTCGTTGATGGAAGTGAAGAAGCATCATACTGATATGGTGAAATCAGAGAAGCTGAAAACTGACTGTGCAATTAAGGAGGCAACGTTCGATGACGAAATCGAAGACAGAAGTGAAGAGGAACCATTAGAAATATCGGATGAAGATGAGTGGTCGGAAGGGAAAAGGAAACGAAAGAAAAGAAATACTGCGAATGTATCAACAGCTTCAAGAAGCACTTCGCGTAAATCGAACGCGAACAGCAGCAGTGCTTGCAATAATAGTGGTAGCTCGAACGCACAAAACAGTACATCTCTCAACGTACCAACGCAGCCAAATGATCCGAAGCCTTTCGTTTGTCAACGTGTGTTTTTATATTATCCGTTTTCATCTAAACAACAAAATTGACTTACCATTTATTGCCTCGTAGTAATACTGAAAACCGAAAGCATAGTTGTTTCTATCCCCCATATGTAGTAGAGTTCAAAAAAGTGGAGTGGTAAGAGGATTGTGTGCAACGATTGATTATATAGTAGAACGGTAGGATTAGATGAAGACGTTTATATTCGATTCAAGCAGTTGAGAAAAAGAAGTTCAGCAGTAGCTGACCCTATCTCATGGGAAAAGTCCAAATACCTTTCTAATTTACTTCGTTCGTATTCGATTTTCCGACTATTTCCGGCTGGCAGCGGAAGCTTTACAAACGTCATAATATTCGTCACAGCAGGCAGTTTTCTTTGCTTTGTCTAATGTAACTTGCCAGGAACTAGTGATAATTCGCCAAGAGATTTGAACTCAAATACAATAAATGATTATGAAATAGAAAAGTATTGAAGTATTTTTCTTAAAAAAAAAACTACAGCTGACTTGACTGAACTTCTCGCCCTTCACCCACATCAACATATTATATGCGACCAGGGTTAACAAAAGTGAATGTAAATAATGATTTTCATTGTCCACGGTCCAGAAAGTTTGGACATGGATTTCAATCGATAAGTTTTATTATGATTAATATGATGATAATTTAAGAATGTGGTGCTAAGTACAAGAGTCGACCAGGATTGAACTATCATCGAGCACACGTCCATCCGGAGACGGCTAGTCGATCTTCTACACCACACTGTATCACTTAGTGATATGTCTATTTGTTTATATCTCATTATCATTATGAGTCAGTGAAGAATATGATCCGTTACAAACAACCTCTTTCTCATATCCACGTATTCAGACAGAACTTCAAGTGATCAGTAGATGAGACAAGAATGTCATAAAGCAATGAATGCATTCTGTTGTTTTGATAATCGGGTATATTTTCATTCTAATAATCAACGTCTTATCGGAATGAAATTACAGAATGAGAAATTATTTGTTCTGATCGTAAGTAATGAATGATGAATATTTAAATGAAGAGTGTTACAGTGAAAGAGTATGCACAATGATAATTTGAGGGAGTAATGAGATTTGTAACGGGTGGAGCATGGTGAAGATTGAGTGTATTGTGGAAAGGAGAAATAATTGGAATTATGGTTAAGAGATTATGAGTGTACTGTAATATAAGTAACGAATAGAGCGTTTTGATTTAGTCGATATGTGTTTGTTTGTGGTGGTGTTTGGGTAGATGTGCGTTTATTCGTGAATGTGATTTTAATAACGGGTTTTATTTGAAACATTACGGTAGTTTGTAGTTTGTGATATATTGTCATCTTTTGCATATAAGCTTAAATTCTATATTCCCTTTGTTTCTGTGGTAATGTCTAGTATTGTTATTATTATTATTGTTTTTTGTTATCATTATAGTTATTGTTGTAGTTATCATAAACGCATAAAATCGAGACGACGGGTGTATTTGAAGTTGTGTGAGCAGAAGAGTGTAATGGATTTTCGAAGAAAGAATCATTTATTAAACGTTAATCATTAATAATAATGATAATAATACTGATACGAGTGATTATATGTATTGATTTCATTTGAATTTGAAAGAGTTTATTGCCGTTCTATATAATTTTAGTGGTTTGTGATTGATATGCACAAAGGGAATTATTTATTGATTTGAATTGAAATTGATTAAGTTGATATTATTTGTTATTCATCAGTAAATATTTAAATTCATCACATCATCTATCGCCACAACACATTCTGCTCTCGCATCACATAATACACTCGATTTCGGTTGTTAATTAAGCGTTCCTTCTTGATTATAATAACAACAATTATAATGATAACGAATGTGATAATATAATAATTGTAATGCGACAAAGGTCATATTTTCATTAGCGACTGATCTTTTGTTGAGCTGTTAATTTGTTCTAGTATTATGCATTCGTCAGTTTGTTCGATTTTTGAATTCATTTAGTGACGATTGAGTAGTGTTGGGTTAGGTACTTCTAAGAATATGGGTACATTTATGAGCGATCATACATTTAGCAGGCAGGTTTGAAAACTGGAAGAGGAATGCATATCAAGCAAAAAACATGTTTAATACTGCTGGTTGACTGTTTTTGCTGATTTGAGTGTAATACTTAATAAAAAAACATAGCAAGGTACTTTTCATTAATTGAAACAATTGATGATATTGGATTATTCTCTCTGAAATTAAAATCAAGAAGGTGGATATTGAGAGAAGGAATTAATTGTAAACGAATGTGGTATGCATTCGAGTGTGAGTGAGATATAATACAATGTTAACGAGAATATTTTCATTGAGTGAATAATAGAAGTAAATTGCAGTAGAAGTTGACATATCACCAATTTGCGATTTGTGTCTTGGAGATCGAAATGAAAACAAAAAAACTCTATTACCCGAAATATTAGTGAGTTGTCACGACTGTGGTCGATCAGGTAATTTCCTTTTCCACTTCGAAGTTTTATTTTGTTGTAAAAATCGTCATTTGTTGTAATCCAGTTGATTGCGTTTGATTATTTTTCAAAAGGTATCAGCAACATTTATATTGCATTCCAAATTGTTTTGATTACTTCGTCTGGCACTCGCTACTGCATTTACAATCATCAGTATTGCTATAGCGTTTAGTTTATTCATAGGTTTAATAATTGCTAGTGAATTATGAATTGTTTCAGGTCATCCGAGTTGTTTGAAGTTCACGGATAACATGTTGGTATCAACGAAGAAATACGGTTGGCAGTGTATTGAGTGCAAGAGTTGTGCTATTTGTGGTACATCGGATAATGACGTAACTCATTGTGTTTATTCGCTGTCGTTCATTTCATTGCTAACTTCTTCGGAAAATCTTGTTTTGGAGTGAAAATCTCGTATCAATTTTGAAATATCCTCATCACTTAAACAGATTTTCCTTGAATCAATCAAATGTGTATATATTTCGTTGAGACATCAATTCTTAGTCTAATTTGATGTGAATGTTCAGATTTTTGATTGGTGATTGTATGCGATTGATAATTTGAGGGATTGAATGAGCATTTAAGAAAGTTCATCGTGTTTAATAATGATAGTAGTACTACTGTCATCGATGCTCTTACTAATACTAATAACGTTATTGATAACAATTTAAGGACCAGCTATTATTCTGCGATGATTGTGACAGAGGATTCCACCTATACTGTTTACAACCACGACTACTGAGTGCACCTGAAGGTGAATGGAGTTGTTATTTGTGTCAAAAGCAATTCGGAGCTAAAGCATCCTTACCAATCATTACCAGCAATGGCAGTGATACTGTCCGTTGATCACTGGACACCATTGTTACCATCTTTGTTATCATTATCTCATTGTTTTACTTCATTGACTGTTCATAATGCATTTTGTTTTAGCTAATCATAAGTATTAATTCAGCTTTATCATATTCAAACATTGTTCACTAATTCTTTTTCCTATCTTCTTCTTTTCACTTCTCAAGATGAATTATTCTTCAACTTCACTTGGAATATTCCATTCCTGTCCCAAAGGTTTATTTCGTATTCATTAAAAATTTTTTTCAATTTATTTGAGTTTGTATTGTGGAACATTTTAACTTTTAGCATAATTCATAACTTCTAAATTGCAAAACTTGTGAATCTTCTGAATCAAATCTGATGCAGTTCATCAGTTTTCATCACCGTGCAATATTGCCGTATCAGATTAGAAGTTAAATTCACTGTTTCATTGAAATCAGTTGAGTACAGGAGATGATATTCATCAAAAGAGCCTTTCATCACACCGAGCCGTTTGCCACCAACTTGAAACTATCTCGTGCCAATTTATTATCGGCCGGGAATATTCATGCCACATTAATGTTATCGAATACAGAAACAAATTAACCTTTGATCACTTCACAATTCACCTCTTCTTCTTTTCTGTTCGTTTTCATTTGAACTTTCATTTTGTGCCTATTCAATTTTAGGTGTTTTAATCATTGTTTAGCGTTTAGTTGATTTTCGATGTTCTAGGTTTGAAATGAGATTTGGTCTTTTCTTCATTTGAGCTTTTCGAATATTTGTGTGTTTGTAAAAGCAAGCCGTTGGTTGATGTGAGTCATCATGTTCAAATAAGTTTTCATTTGCTACTATCGCCGTACTAATAACTATATTTTCATTTCGATTACGTCCACTATGAATTCACATATTGCCGTTCAAGCAGTAAATCATAACCGTAGCGGTTCTGCGATTATTGCTTCTATGATTATCAAATGGTATGTAAAAGATGCCTAAAGTAGATCATAACAACAAACATTTGTATGTGTGATTTGATGATAATGTTCATGATATCATTAATGCACTTTACATTCGTCATTTCCTTATGTACCTATAAGTTGGTTATATTTTCAGTCAGTTTATTTGCGATGAATTTTTGAAGTTGTTCAAATCTACGTCGTTTACTAAGCATTTTGAATTAATGATTGTTCGCTAATTTAATGACTGAATTTTCTTCAGAAGCGGAGAATGAGTTTCCTTTCACAGTTGTATTCGTTCGTTTGCGTTATCATTTATCATCTCACCCTTACTTATTATATTTATTTGTACATTTAATGCAGTGTTACATTTGTTGTTGTTGTTGTTGTTTTTGTTTGCGTTCTGTGAATAATTCTTGTTGAATTGTCACTTTGCTTCATCTTCAAATTCGATGCCAGAAATTCTTTGAAAGCACCGAAAATCTCACGGTTCATTTGAACTACTCCCAACTCGCACTTTTTCGGTGAGAGTCCATTGTTTCCAATATTTTCCGATCAATCGTTTAGCTAGGTTAAGATCGTGCCTAAATCACTTTTGCTTTTCTTTTAAGAGTAGCAATATTCAGTAATTTATTTCAAGAAACAGGAAAAAGTATTCCGATGATTTCAAAATGTTCATCCTGCTTCGCCAGAATTGCCTTCTTTAGATGCCTTTTCTTTCCAGTGATTCGATATATTGCTCGCATTGAGAAATACTTAAATGTACGATTGTATTTGATTAAGCAGAACTTAAATTAGGAATCATCACTCAGTCATGACTTCCTCACAGTGAAGAGTCATGTGAAAGTTAAATTTAGAAATTTAATTTGCTCTGCGAATATCTGATGCGAAGTAACAATTGAACAAGCTTGATGTTAACTTCTTTCCGTTCGTAAACGATTGACATTTGTCATTATGATGGTTCTTTCAAAAAACTACTTCTTTCATCCAAAAACATCTTATGAAGCATAATGTTATCATTGTATTATTGTGAAATAATCCTCTCATATTTACGTCGTTTAATGAACAAATTTTTTAATTTTCCTTCAAATAACTTCACCTTTTTAATTATGCATTTATCATCATAAGTCGCTGATTCTTGTCGAGGAGGAAATTTTGAGCTATCAATAAGGAAGTTGAGGAGATTTGCGAAATAATCTTGATTGGTTTTTCCTCACAGTTTTTTCGGAATTGTTCAATAATATTCTGAAACCGAATAAATTCAACGGATTAACGTTCAGTTGCTTCATACTAATCGTAACATGGAAGGAAAGGAAACATATTCATCGACTAATTTTCTTTTGAAATTCTCAAGTGATTAAAGTTGTGACATAGACATATCTGAATTCGCATATTAAAAAATGTTGAATATAATCGTCGACGAATTGAATGATCATCAACAAGGGATCGAGACATGCATAAGAATACGCGATATGCATCTGAAAAGAGCGCACTCATAAACTGCTTCTGTGCCTGATTGGTGACCACTTCATTCGGCATCTATTTTTCATGTTGAATCACCAAAAGTTTTATTAAATCAATTTATTTATATTTATTATTTTTAATAGACGTTGTTCATAAGCGCTCACAGCAAGTAAAAAAGTTTTGTATAAACAGTCGAACCTCGGTTTACGTCACTAATCGGTTCCAGAGGTAGCAACTTCCAACAAAACCATAGTTGGGCATTTCTAAGTGCATCATCTTAACGCACTTATATTGTTGAATGATATGCCATTGGTTACGTGACGAGCTATTTCAAATGAATCTCATTGTCAGATTCATTACTGTGTTATGTCCATCTATCTCCCTTAATGGATAGTAATGATGCCGTCATTCATCAGCTGCAACGAGGAAGTGTTCTGAGGAAAGTGATAGACCAAAAAATAAAGTTGACATAAAAAAGATCAGCGATATACTGCGACAGTTACATGCTTAGAATCTATGTGCGATACAACGCAAGTATTATTTGAAACATTGAGCAGAGAAATCATTTGAAAGAATCCTGGCTGAACGTCTTTTCCTTCACAAAACTTCGTAGCATTTATTATAAGGCGATTGCAGGGCCAATCCTCAAGAATTGTAGCGCTGATCCATGCTTCTGAATCAGACTTCCATATGGAATAGATTAGTGTTTGCACGGTATCCTGGGATTCCGGGATTCAATTTTTGAAAAATGCCGGGGTCTCAGGGTTTGATAAAGCAGGTCAATTTGCATGAATTTTGATAGTATGCCTATCTTGAAGCAAGCCTTAATCATGCCCAACTCATTCATATGCAGTTAACTTTGTTGTTCGCTGTCTATCACATTGATGAATGATCAAGGAAATAGATGCAAGACGAATGGCATGATGAACGACAACTTGATGAAATTTTGCGTAACATTTCATTGAAAATTCAACTGATTATTCTGCTCTTCATTAGTTTATGTCACGCTCATCTGGATGCATTTTTGTGTAGACTAACGGAGATAATCACACTTCTAATGAGAACCAAGAGCAACGAAATTCAATGAAATTTTGAATTGTTTCCCTCCACGCGATTTGTTCGGCTTCAATGTTCCATCTGTTAATTGAACTGCATGTTCTAAAACTGTAAGTTCGATCCAAATGTACATCAATTCTCACTGAGATCACTCATAGTGAGAATTCGTTGTTGAAATGAGCGAAATTGTTCCATTCAAAATGATCTCAAGCTTGAATATCAAGTACATTTGTATGATTTTTGACTGAAATTATTAAGTTTGTAAGTGCTCAATGGTTCGACGAAAATCCATTGCGGATATTTTTTTACCTTCTTACAATTAGATAAACTTCGAACTTTTAATTATTTCAAAATTCAAATGATATCGTTCATGTGGTGCATTCCTTCCGTAAAAAATCAAAATTTCCGGAACGGCAGAATTCAGCTGACGTTAATACTGAGAGAAAATGGACTTGAAGCATTGCAAATAAGTGTTTGAGAATCAAGAATTTCATATTCACATGCAAGTGTACTGTTATTAGCTTAGACCCAAGATGACAAGATGCCTCAGCATAGAATATGCAGTATGCCCTTGCGGCATGATTATTGGCATCATTATATGAAATATTAATTTGAGTTTAAATACTTAGTTTCTTAGATTTGTTCAATAATTTGTTGAATTAGCTCCTTTCTGATTAATAATGAGCATATTGGTTGGAAAAAATGTGTTTAAACAAGTCCCGCATCGATATTTCCATAATTATTCGATCCCGGGATTAAATCTCGATCCCAAGATTGAAAAATCGTCGGGATTTTGCAAACCCTAGCTTAGACCCGAGATGACAAGATGCCTGACAATGAGCACGGAGAATATAATATGCTTTGCGGCATGATCACTAGTATCATTAGATGAAATACTGATTTGAATTTGAATAATTTGTTTTGTTGTGTTTGTTGAATGATTTGTTGAATTAACTCCTTTCTGATTAATTATGTGCATAGTGGGTCAAAAAGTGTGTTTAAACATGTCCCGCATCGATATTTCAAAAATTGTTCGATTCCGGGATATTGTTGCTGACGCACGTATTCAACATCATTCTCATTCGCATTATCACCGCGATAGCTGTCCTCAGCAACAGCGCTGTTATTATTTTTCGGATTTCCCTCTTTCCGTTACCACCCGAATCGTCGTAAATCGTGTCCGTTCCGCTAGTTCAATATCATTGCCAAAGCAGCATTGTAGCTGATGACAACGTTCTAACGCTGAAACATCTTACGTTGTTACTATATTATGTGCGCATCATTTTGGTCAGTCATTAACTTATTCTATTTAATACTATTAACTTCATCATTCGTGTTCCCGGTAGCCATATTTTGTGTTTTTGAAATGATTTACTTATAATTATATTAAATTAAATGTAATTAAATTATAACTTATATTAAATTAGGAGTAGCACCATAACGCTGTTGTTAATGTTTTTACAGTTAGATGCAGTAGTGAAATGTTGCGTTAATATCTGATAACTGTTAGGTTATTTTAACGCCTCTTGATGCATTGTTCATAACCGTGAACATATAAAT